ATAGAAATTTGAGCAGTCACGTCGGCTGGAGGTCTGGCTTTTCTTGCCCTGGATAAATAGCTGCACATGGGCTCAAGCACTGTTCTAGCTCCAGGTCTCCCCCTTCTTCAGGGAAGGGCTATCTGGCTGCTGTGCATCTGTTACCTTCACTAAAGAATCTTCACGTGGTATTCTTGTGGATGGATGCCCAAGTGGGCCGAGCTCTGCTTCTCAGATGGCCAGGAATGAGCACAAGAGCATTTCCTAACATTCTACCCACCCCAGGCGCTGCTAATTGCTCAGATTAAATTTGTTAACGACATTAATGAGCAACACCTAGCTCAGAAATCCAAGGCTTCTGAGTATCCCAAGCCTTCTATCAACATCAATTGGTGTGAGAATCACTTGTGGGGTGGCTAAAGTGTAGATTGCTAGGATGCACCCAGAGAGTGGAATTGGTAGGTCTAAGGTGGGCCCTCAGAATTTGCATTTTTAACAGAAACCTCAGGTGATCCTGATGCCATGGTCCCTGGAATCCACTGGGAGAAATGCAGCTCTCCATGTGAAGGACTGCATGGTGCTGTGCTGAGGGTGTAAGTTGTTATTCACCCCTTGGTGAATTTCCTTGATGCCTCATGCTGTTGTCAGAACTGAACCCCACAAACCTGCTCCTCCTCAGTCTCCCTATCTCAGTAACTGGCAGCCCCACCCTTTTGGTTTCCCATATCAGGACTATCATCCCACATCCAATCCACCAGCAAACCTTCTTGGTTCCACCTTCAGAACATCTAGTGCTTCCCATCTCACTCAGATGAAAGCCCAGACCCTTCCTGTGACCTCTGAGACCCTGCTTGAATGACCCAGGCCACCTCTCCTCTCACCATCCCTCCCACATGCCCACACACCCCTCCTGCCTGACACAGCACCCCGCCTCCCCTCATCTGTGGGGTTCACTCCCACACCTCCTGGCCTCTGCTCAGTCACCTTCTCCCGGGGTCTTCCCTGACCGTGCTATTTAAAAGAGCCATGTACACCTGCCCCCTCCCACCCTCTTGTCTTTCTCTGCTGTATTTCTTTGCACAGCTCTTACACATCCACCCCACTAAGTAATTCACCTGTTTATTGACTACTGCTGGGATGTGAATTTTTGTCTCTTTTGCTGCCTGCCATGTCCCCAGTTTCTAGACTAAGGCCAAGTCTATAGTGAATACTCAGTAAATATTTGTTGAATTAGTGAATGAATGAACAAAAATTGTGAGAAGCATTTACCTTTCACCTAACAAGCTGCCATTGTAAATGCTAAGTGTGCAAACCTGTGTGTGCACGTGGGCATGAAGGCAGGCGTGGCAGAGGGATTATAAATGGAGCCTTGCCTGCCCCCAGATTAGGGGCTGATCCGTCGTCTTTCCTTCCTGTGGCTGTTATGAAGCTGAAAGAGTGTGTGTTCTTGGCTCAGTAAGTATCATCCTAAAAATACAATATCCCACAAAAAACTGTTTAAAAAGACTCCCAGGTTAGCTTACCAGGAACTAGTTAACCCATTGTAATTACAGTTTAAGTCTCATGATAGCCTGTCATGGGAGCCTACTCATTGTTATAATTTCTTTTTCTATGATAGAAAAATGTAGTCCAGCTTCCAATCTATTTATAAACCTTTGCACAGTTGCACTTGTCGGTTGCTGGCTGCATCGCGCTGTCTCTTTTTACTTAGATAAAAGCTATGACTCCACCTAGTTTAACTCTCCGTATCTATACTGTCTGTCCTCCATCTTCACTCTCCCTGTTTCATAATTCAGCCTTAGAATGAGAATTGGGTTGCAGAATAAGGCTTCACAGAATAACTGAAATAGGATACAATCCGTGCCTGTTGTTTCCTTAATTTGTGGGTGGAACAGAGTGTAGAGTTTGGATTGATTTCTATCTGAATTTTCTGAAAATGGTTGCACTTTTTTTTTTTTTTTTTTTTTTTTTGAGGCGGAGTCTCGCACTCTCGCCCAGGCTGGAGTGCAGTGAGTGGCGTGATCTTGGCTCCCTGCAAGCTCCGCCTCCCGGGTTCACGCCATTCTCCTGCCTCAGCCTCCTGAGTACAGGCGCCTGCCAACCACGCCCGGCTAATTTTTTGTATTTTTAGTAGAGACGGGGTTTCACCGTGTTAGGCAGGATGGTCCTGATTTCAGCCCCCCTCGGCCTCCCAAAGTGCTGGGATTACAGGCGTGAGCCACCGCGCCCGACCAAATGGCTGCTCTTTAGACCTGTAGCAGATTGCCTTTTTACTTGGCGTTCAGAAGTGCATTAAGAAGAAATGCGACTTCTGGCAATGCAGGTGTGAGGAAAAGGTGTTCTACTTATTTTAGAGATGAGGAAGCTGAAAGACAGTTTGCAGTCTCCACAGAGCCCCTGAGGGAGGGCTGAGGTTGAGTCCTAGAGCTGGGCGCTTTCTGCAGTCCCCATTCCTTGCGCTCTGGGAGAAAGTCCTGATGGCCTTTAAGCCATGAGCACACTGGTGAGTGTGAGTGTGCGAGTCCCTCCAGGAGCTGCTTCCTTACACTTAGTTGTGAATTTCTGAGCTGTAGAAACCTGAGGTTTTGACACATCCAAGTTACATTCATTTCTTTTCGCTCCAAATTTTTTTTTTTTTCCCTTTCTTAATAGTGATAGTTTTCTTCACAGCCATCTATTTTACCATAATCCATCCTGGGTTTTTTTTGTTGTTGTTCTGCCTTGAGTTTTATATCATTTTCTATTTAAGTTAAGCTTGTCATTTTCTTGTTTAAATAAAGTTGAGTCATGCCTAATTTCCTATTTTTATCAAACTGGAATTTCTTAGCCAAGTCATCAAGGCCCTATACTAAATCTTGAGTCATAACTTCATTCCTACTATGTTCCAATCAGATTTTCCACTTGAACCGACACTGTCCTGCCAACCCTCAGCTTGCTGCTTTCCCAAGGATCTGCAGGCAGCTCTCCAGTACTGTCCAAAAGTTAATGCCGCTGCTGCTACTCTCATTTCTTACCTGTGCTGTTTTTCAGCATGCTGTAATATTCATCTAGATAATCTTCCCTGCTTGCTTCTATCATTAAACCCGGTTTATAAAGTATGACTCGAATTATACTTGAAGTCTGTGCTGATGAACCCCAGACACGTGGTCATCCCTAATCTAGTGGGCATCCCTAACCTAGTGCTCATGATCTCCGTACTTGGCTCCCAGTGAAGGGGTGGTGGAGAGCAGCAGTTAAGATTCTCGAGCTAGATGTCCTAGGTTCAGATCCCACCTTTGCTACGCACTGCCTTTGTGACTTCAGGCACTTTAGTCCACTGTGCCTCAGCTTTAACTGCAAACAGGTTAAAAAATTGTCCCTGACCAGAGTGGTGGCTCACACCTGTAATCCCAACACTTTGGGAGGCCTAGGTGGGAAGATCACTTGAGCCCAGGAGTTCGAGACGGAGACCAGCCTGGGCAATGCAGGGAGACCCCTCCCCCCAACCAACCCACACCTACTGAAAAACAAAGTAGGCAGGTGTGGTGCATGCTTGTGGCTGCAGCTACTCAAAAAGCTGAGGTAGGATGATCGCTTGAGCCTGGGAAGTCGAGGTTGCAGTGAGCCGAGATTGCACCACTGCTCTCCAGCCTGGCTGACAGAGCAAAACCCTGTCTCAACAACAACAGAGTCCCTGCTACCTAGGGTTGTTGTGTAAATTAAGAATTAATAAACGTAAAGCCTGTATATGTTAAGCGCTATTTGTTAACTTTGTTACATTTTAATTTGCTGATGGAAGTCTTGATCCTGGTGACATTGTTACCTATATGATGCTATGTCTCATTAGTTCCTTTGCTTTCTGTTCTCCCTGGGAATACTGGGTAAAGATTGATCTTTGGATTTCTTCCTTCCACTTCTGTCTCCTTTCCAGATAGACCTGAAACACAACTACCACTTGGTTTTCCCTAAGAGTAGGGTGTCCTCCTTCACACTAGCATCAGTGTCTCAAGCTAGAATTCCATGCCATCCCTGCTTAAACAGCATGCTCCTGGAGTCTCCAGCCAACTCCACCTCCTGGAGATGCGGAGGCAGAGGTGTGTGCAGCCACTAGGCCTCCTGGTGGCTATGCTTGTGATTGGCATATTCCCCAGTGTCCTCGAGAAAGCACCCCCCTGTCCATCCACAACCCCCGCCACACCCTACCCTCTTGGCCATTTCCTTTATGAACCATGGCGTTTGTTCCAGTTTCCCCATTTCTTTGCAGCACAGATGGCCCCCTTCTTTTAATGGGTAGAATAAGTAGGAGATGGAAGCAACAGCTGCTGGAGCACTGAGCTTATCTTGGTCCTCCGTAATTTCTGGAAGATCTGCGAGTGGGGCCCAAGCTGTCTGCTATTGCATGGAAATCATGCTTGTACCATACCTATCATAGTTAAACCCTGCCGAGGGCATAGGGCATTTTAATAGCTTGAATCCCTGTTGCTTTGCCCTCCTCCGTCCCCTTCTCCTCATGCCCTTTCTTTGAGGTAGGTGCATGTGTTTTTTAAGACCCTTCCCTCAAAACAATCTTGGTAGTGAGACCAGCTATTAAGTTCAGTGTTACCTGAAAGAAGGATGGTTAGACATAAGACATTTGTTAGCTTCTCTATTATGTCCTCCTCTCAGGATGTCTTTAGGTTGAACCATATAAAAGTGCTGATATTTAGCCCTTTTTGACCCACAAAAATAGTGGTTTCATGAAGTTTAACCTAACGCGTACTTACTGGTTCGCTTTCATTTACTGCGCTCAAACCCACGGGTGCAGCCTCATCTTCGTTCACCAACTCGGCAATGAGACCCAGCTGGGAGCAGTAAGCAATTCTTCTTGCCAGCAGACAAAGCAGGTTAATTCCCTTGGGTTGAATGTTACCCCAGTCTCTTAAACATCAAAAACTGTTTGTTATGATGTAAACTGCTTCTGTGGAGTGGATGCTGTGTCCCTGATGCAGCAATGACATTGGAATCATTTAGTCCTTTTAAGGCAAGTTTGTTTTATTTTTCAGTCTTCACATATAATGCTGCCAACAAGGAAACCTGTGAACACAACCACAGACAATGCTCCCGGCATGCCTTCTGCACGGACTATGCCACTGGCTTCTGCTGCCACTGCCAATCCAAGTTTTATGGAAATGGGAAGCACTGTCTGCCCGAAGGTAATTACTGGGACTGGGAACTCCTGTGTGTCTATTCCTGCTGCTTACCTGTTTCCAGCTACCACTGTGAGCTCTGCTTTATGGACCAAACATCTCCACTACTTAAATCAGAGTGCTATCAACTTGGAGGTGCTCAATAAATGTTAGAGGAATGAACTGGTTTGGGCTGATTCTCAATTCGAGGATTATCCAGAAATGCTTCCTTCTACCAGCTCATTAGAGCCAAAGTTGTAGTGGAGAGAAGGAGGAGGGGAGAAAACAGACTGGAGGCAGGACTGTTTCATATATGGATAATTGGTTGGTTAGGAAATCATTAAAGCGACTTGCTAAAGAGTGAGTTTTGGAAGTTGTCAATGGAATAATTATACCTGTGTACACTTATCTCTAGCCAGGATGATGCCCAAGCTTAACTGGATTTGCTGTCTTTTAGGGGCACCTCACCGAGTGAATGGGAAAGTGAGTGGCCACCTCCGCGTGGGCCATACACCTGTGCACTTCACGGACGTGGACCTGCATGCGTATGTCGTGGGCAATGACGGCAGAGCCTACACAGCCATCAGCCACATCCCACAGCCAGCAGCCCAGGCCCTCCTCCCGCTCACACCAATTGGAGGCCTGTTTGGCTGGCTCTTTGCTTTAGAAAAACCTGGCTCTGAGAACGGCTTCAGCCTCGCAGGTGAGTAGGGTCTCTGAGAAAGTCGGTAGTCAGTGTTGCTTTGGCAGTGGTGCTCCTTGGGGCAGTGTCTTTAGGCCTTTACACAGTGAAAGAGGAATCACTTGTTTAACGTTCTAGAGCCACATGTGTGTAGTTCTCTGGCCAGAGGTTGCTGGGAATGGTTTGACCTCACATCACTGATTTTTGAAAGGCAGTGATTTCTTCTAAATGTTCTCCCAGCTGTTCTGAGAAACAGGATGATTCCATTCAGAACATTTGTGTCCTCTTACTCCAATTCATTGAAGCATATTTGTCAGGCTTTTAAAATTATGCACAGATCTGTCAAATGGTACTTGGGGCACCTGGGGATGATTTTACTTCATGGTGAAGGGGTGCCCTTCTCCCAGCTCTGCAACCTATAATAGTATAGGGGGGTGCGCCCCAGACTTGCACCTGCACACATCACCTGGAGGTCTTGTCAAAATGTGAATTATGGTTCAGCAGGCCTGGGGTAAGGGGTCTGTGATTTTGCTTTTCTACCAAGCTCCTAGGAGGTACCAGTGCTGCTGGAAAGGCCACCCATTGACAACAAGGATTTAGAAGATATTTTTTGGATTCTCACCTTCCCACTTGAAAACTTGTTTCCTAGTGGTTTTATCTTTATTGCATGAAAAATAGTTTTGTGAGAAGTTCTTCCCCCATCTTTAACTGCAGAGCTCAGTGGCTGTTCATAGGTTCTTGCCTTTAATCAAAATTTGAATAAAGCCCTTGTGTCAAAAGTAGATAAAATAGGGCACACCTTGTTAAATTTCTATTTCAGATAAACAATTTTCTAGTATAATTGCATGAGACATACTTATCTGAAATTCAAACAAAAAACCCTGAATGTCTTGGGTGGTTTTTTGTTGTTGTTGTTGTTGTTGTTAGGCTTATATGTTTTTTGCTAAGTCTAGCAACCTTAGAGAAAAGTCAAGGGCGTTCCCAAGAGTATTTCTCACAGAATACAAGCTTGTTTAAAGAGACGCTGGGTGAGGTAAGACAGGATGAAACCATATTCTTCAATGGAAAAGTTTGGGAACTTATGGAATCAACAGCTGACAGTGTTTACTCTCAGTATCAGATAATCTCCTTAGGCACGATCTCCAACAGCAGTAGAAATTGGGAGGGGGCGGTATGTATTGGTAACTGTTTAAGCACAACCTCTTTTCATCCCTATGCTGAATGTTTTTCATCTCCAGGTGCTGCCTTTACCCATGACATGGAAGTTACATTCTACCCAGGAGAGGAGAGGGTTCATATCACTCAAACTGCTGAGGGACTTGACCCAGAGAACTATCTGAGCATTAAGACCAACATTCAAGGCCAGGTGCCTTACATCCCAGCAAATTTCACAGCCCACATCTCTCCCTACAAGGAGCTGTACCACTACTCAGACTCCAGTATGTATAACCCAGTCTTCACATCTGTAAAATGGGGATTATGCCCATCTTACAAGATAGATACAAGGCTTAAATGACTTATATGCCATGTCCTAGAACAGTGCATGGAACATAAAATGAGCTCTATGTTATTACTCTTATTGTTATAAGAAAATGTGTAAGTGAGCAGAATGCTGGCTGCTATACACAATATCTATATCCCTACCTAGTACTTTCAAATAATAAAATCAATAGCAACATTGTCCATGGGGTGGGTAGGGATGGTATAATTATATACAGTTTTTAACCATCCTACTTTCTGCAACATGGAAAAATATTGATTATTGGAATTTGTCTCAGCTTGTTTCAGCTGATGAGTTCAGGTTGCTTTAAAAATCAGAGGCCCGGTGCAGTGGCTCACGCCTGTAATCCCAGCACTTTGGGAGGCTAAGGCAGGTTGATCACCTGAGGTCAGGAGTTTGAGACCAGCCTGGCCAACATGGCGAAACCTGTCTCTACTAAAAATACAAAATTAGCCGGGTGTGGTGGCATGCTCCTGTGATCCCAGCTACTTGGGAGGCTGGGTCAGGAGAATTGCCTGAACCCAGGAAGTTGAGGTTGCAATAAGCCGAGCTTATACCACTGTACTCCAGCCTGGGTGACAGAGCGAGACTCCATCTCAAAAACAAAACCAAAAACACAGAGATGCTGTATTTTATTATAAAACTAATGCTAGATTTGGAGTCAAAAGATAACTTATATCCTGGATTTGCCATTTAATATCTGTAGGGAAAGGCCTCTTAATATCTGAGAATGTATTTTCTCATCTTTAGCATGGAACTAAAAATGTTTTTTCTATGTTACATGGTCAATAATGTGTGTGAAGCGTGATGTGTTCTGTGAAAACTACCTGCATACAGGATGCGGCCTCTATCACAGTTGCTGTTGTGCAGCACAGCAATCCGGACTGAGTTGTGCCTTTCCTCTAACCCCTGCTGCTCCTATGCTGAGAGCTGGCAGCGTGGCAGGAGATGTAGGGAAGACAATGGGAAGCAGCGACCTGGGCTGTGAACAAAATGGTCAGTGTCCAGATCACTGACCTGGGCTTGACTCCTAGACTCAGATTGTGAGAGACAACCCTTTCCTTTCTCTGGAATCCTTCAGATTTACTGAAGTGCGAGGTGTTGGAAGTCGTCACTTCTGTGCAATGTAGAGGATGGATTGGTTTAAAATTTAGGGTGTAGAGTTAAACCAGTGTGAGTTTCATTTTCAGTTCTACCATGAAGCAGCGTTGCATCTTAGGCTACTTAACCTCTGTGAGCCTCTGATCACACAATTCAGTGCCCATCTCACCAGGCTGTTGTGAGGAAGAAACGAGGCAGTATGTATAGAGCACCCTTGGCATGACTGGCACTCAGTAACACTTATTTGCATATAATAACACGGACAACTGTAGTGCCTTCTCCCCCTCAGCACTGTGGCTTTGCATCCACTCAGGTTTTTGGGATTTCCTTGCAAATTTTTTCATATAAACTCAGGAAGTTCCCAAGGGAACACACTCCAAGAATTAGATGAAAACCTCTGCAGAAAAATCCACCCCACATGAAAATCTCTCTATTTAATATTTTTTTAAAAACTACCAATGTGTTTATTGCAGCTGTGACCACTACAAGTTCCAGAGACTACTCTCTGACTTTTGGTGCAATCAACCAAACATGGTCCTACCGCATCCACCAGAACATCACTTACCAGGTGTGCAGGCACGCCCCCAGACGCCCGGCCTTCCCTACCACCCAGCAGCTGAGTGTGGACCGGGTCTTTGCCTTGTATAATGATGAAGAAAGAGTGCTTAGATTTGCTGTGACCAATCAGATTGGCCCGGTTGAAGGTAAGGTTTCCTTTTTTTGTTGTTGGGTAAAAATGACATCCTTTTAAGTAGAGTTAAAATGATTCACAGAGGTTACTAAGGGTTACCTAGTGCCAGGCTGTGTTAGGTGCTAGGTATAAGGATGAATAGAACAGATCCTTGCCCTTGAGTTGGAAACAGGCAGAAAAGAGTTTTAGGGCAGGGAACAGTGTCCCTGCCAAAGTCAGGAAATAGAGCATGGTATGTGAGGCTGGTTTAGAGCAATACCCAACTGTGTGTGCCAATCGGGAATATACCTGTGAACAAGGTGGACTGGAATTAGGGAGAGCAATGCTGACAAGTATTTGTTACAAGTGTGATAAGTGCAGGGAACTATGAGTCTAGTTTGAAGATTGAGGAGAGATATCACCACGAAAGTGACATTTTAGCTAAAACAGATGAGGAGAATTTCATCCAAAACCAAGGTGGGGCAAAGAGCTAGTACCTGGAAAAACAAAACATCATGGAACTTGATGTCTAACCTCCCCCTCCACGATCCCCAGAACATTAGAGTTACTGGTGAAAGACTGGATGCTTTTCCCTGAAGCTCAGGAACAAGAGAGGGATGTCTGCTCTTGCCATTTTTATTCAATTCAGTACTTGAAGTGCTAGCCAGGGTGATTAGGCAAGAACACGAAATAAAAGCCATCTAAATTGGAAAGGACAAAGTAAAATTAGTTTCAGATGACATTTTATGTAGAAAATCTCAGGAATTCACTAAAAAACTATTAGAACTAAAGAACAAGTTCAGCAATGTTACAGGATATGCAAGATCAGTACACCAAATTAATTGCATTTATAGTAGCAATAAGCAAACCGAAGATTAAGAAATTGTTTCAAAAAGAGAGAAATTTTTAAAAAGAAGTGCAGTACTTGTACATTGCATCCCACAAAACATTTTTTGGAAAAAAGTTAAGACCCAGATAAATGGGAAGACCGTTCCATATTCATGGATTGGAAGACTTAATATGGTTAAGATGTGAATACTTCCTGAATTGATTTATTAATTCAACATAAACCCTATGAGAATCTCAGCTGGCTCTTTGCAGAAATTGGCAAGCTGATTCTAGAATTTATATGGAAATTCAAAGAACCCAGAATAGCCAAAACAATCTTGGAAAAGAAGCATAAAGTCAGACTCATATTTCTCAAACTCGAAGTGTAGAGTAATCAAGACAATGTGGTCCTGGTATAAGAATACACGTACAGATCAAGGGAATAGAAGTGGGAACCCAGAAATAGACACTCACGTTAAAAGTCGATTGCTTTTTCAACAACAGTGCCATAACAATTCAATGGAGAAAGAATAGTCTTTTAAACTGTTAACTATGGTGCTGGGACCACTGAGTGACCACATACAAAAGAATGAAGTTGAACCCTTTACCTCACAGCATATCCAAAAATCAACTCAAAATGGACCAACAGACCTAAGTGTAAGAGCTAAAACTTTTAGAAAAAACATTGGGGGTAAATTTTTGTGACTTTGAATTTGGTAACGGTTTGTTAGGTACGACACTAAAAGCACAAGCAACAGCAAAATAAACTGGGTGTCATCAACATTTTAAAAGTTTATGCTTCAGGCCAGGTTTGGTGGCTCACGCCTGTAATCCCAGCACTTTGGGAGGCCGAGGTGGGCGGATCACAAGGTCAGGAGATGGGGACCATCCCGGCTAACACAGTGAAACCTCGTCTCTACTAAAAATACAAAAAATTAGCTGGGCATGGTGGTGGGTGTCTGTAGTCCCAGCTACTCTGGAGGCTGAGGCAGCAGAATGGCGTGAACCTGGGAGGCGGAGCTTGCAGTGAGTGGAGATCGCACCACTGCACTCTAGCCTGGGAGACAGAGCGAGACTCTGTCTCAAAAAAAAAAGAAAAAAAAAAAAAAGTGCTTCAAAGGACATTATTAAGAAAGTGAAAACACAACCCATAGAATGGGAAGACAGTATTGTAAATCATGTATTTAATAAGACTTGTTCTAGAGTATATGAAGCATTCTTACAACTCAGAAACAAGCTAACTAAAAGATGGGCAAAGGATCTGCAATGACCTTTCTCCAGAAAGATATACAGATACCCACCCAATGGGCATGTGTGAAGATGCTCAGCATCATTAGTCATCAGGGAAATGCAAATCAAAACCACAATGAGATACTACTTTACCTCATGTGGTTGAGTATAATCAAAAAACGGGTAATAAGTGTTGGCTAGAACGTGGAAAACTCGGAACCCTCATACGTTGCTGATGTGATTATAAAATGACGTGGCTACTGTGAAAAACAGAAAATAGCAGTTTCTCAAAGTGAAACACGATGTTGCCATTTAATGGAGCAATTCTACTCCTCCCTATATACCCAAAAGAAATAACGTAGGTCCCTATAAAAACTGATTTGTGTATATTCATAGTGGCATTATTCATAATAGTCAAAAGGTAGAAGCAACACACGTGTCCATCAGTTGATGAATGGACACCAAAAAATATATTCATATACTGGAATATTATTCAACCATAAAAAGGAATGAAGTACGGATATGTGCAACAACATGGATGAACTCTGAAAACTTTAAGTGAAGGTAGCCAGTGACAAAGGACAGCACACTAAATGGTTACATTTATATAAAATATCCAAAATAGGCAAATCCATATACATAGAAAGCATATTGTGGTTGCCCAGGGCTAAGAGATAATGAGGGAATAGGGAGTTAATAGCTACAGGGTACAGGGTTAATTTTGGGGGTGATGAAAATGTTTTGAAATTGATTGTGGTGATGGTTGTATAACACTGAATATACTAAATTGTTTAATTATGTACTTTAAATGGATGAATTGTATGGTATATGAATTACATCTCAATTGAAGACCGGGCATGGTGGCTTATGCCTGTAATCCCAGCACTTTGGGAGACTGAGGTGGGTGGATCACCTGAGGTCAGGCATTCAAGACCAGCCTGGCCAACATGGCGAAACCCTGTCTCTACAAAAGAAAATAAAAAATATATAAATATATACACACACAAAAATTAGCCAGGTGTGGTGGCTTGTGCCTGTAGTCCCAGCTACTCAGGAGGCTGAAACAGGAGAATTGCTTGAACCCAGGAGGCGGAGGTTGCAGTGAGCCGGGATTGTGCCACTGCATTCCAGCCTGTGTGAGAGAGAGAGACTCTGCTTCAAAAAATAAAAATAGAAGCAAACAGTATTAGAAACAAAACTCTAAAACCATTCTCATCGGGCACAGTGGCTTGTACCTGTAATCTCAGATACTCTGGAGGCTGAGATGGGAGGATCACCTGAGCCCAGGAGTTTGAGACCAGTGTTGGCCACATAACAAGACCTGTCTCAAAATAAGCAGTGGTTCTCAAATTTCAATGACCATTAGCCTCACCGGTGAAGACTGATTTTAAAATGTTCTAAGCATATCGTACCACAGAAAGACATGCAGGAAACTTAAAAGCATGTTGCTCTGTGAAAGCAGCTAGTCTGATAAAGGCTACATACAGAATCATTCTAACTGTGACATTCTGGAAAAGGTTACACTCTAGAGACAGTAAAAAGATCAGTGCTTGCCAGTGGTTCGGGAGGAAGGAGGAGAAGGATGCATGGGTGGAACACGGGATTTTTAGGGCAGTGAAATTATTCTGTACGATACTGTAATAGGCCATTATGTGTTTGTCAGTCTATAGAACTGTCCAACACCAAGAGAGCCCTACTGCAGACTATGGGCATTAGTTAATAATGTATCAATATTGATCGGGGATAACAAATGCACCACACTAATGCACAATGTTAATAGGGGAAACTGCACATTGTGGGCGGGGGGGATATGGGAGCTCTGTACTTCCTGCTCCATTTTTCTCTAAATGTAAAACCATCCTAAAAACCAAGGTCTTAATTATTAAAAAATGTTTCAAGCAAGCCAGAGGATGAGCTTGTGAAGTCAGGGAACTCTACAGATGGGGAGTGGCTTTGTCAGATCAAGGGGACATTTAGTTCTGAAAACCAGGTCATGTTTTCCCCTGGAATGTGAGAGCCACACAAGGAGAAAAAAACCATCTTCATTCACAGCCACTGTATTGAAACTGTTGAGCCCAGAGTTAGCTCCTCAGCGAGGTGAATCTGTAAGTAATACACAGTTCTGTGCTTTGTTACTGGAGCTGAGGGCTCCTTAAGCCTCAGCAGGCTCAATAAAGAAGTGTTGCTTCAGCAATAGGACAAGATTAAGGTATCAAGACGGGACTCTTTTCTAGGATGTGGAAGTGACTTGTAATGAGAATCCCGAGGTGGTTTGGTTGATTGGTTTTAAGAAACTTGGTTGGGAATGTAGGCACTGGGTGCCCAGAGATGGGATTGTAAGGTAGCAAATGAACACATGAAAATGTGAGTTGATTTTAGGGGAACATGTAAATTAGAAAGGGAAAGATTGCTGTACTAGATTTCTCAATGAGAGATTTAAAACTACTGGGGAGAATGGTCTTTACCTTTAAATGTCCGGGTCAGCCCTGTGTTGGGTGTAGGCATCTGATCTGTAAAAGCAACCGTTCGTGAAATAATCTCCTAGGCTACGGAGTCCCATTCAGATTCTGGAACCATTTAGGAAAAAGATGTATCTCTGGGTATATTTTTCCTAGAAGACATACCAAATGAGAGTAAGGAAGGATCAGAGAAAGCAAACTGGCAGGTACCAAGTTGCTTGTTTTCTTTAGAATTTTATGATTTTCCCTATCACCCCAGTCAAGTAATGTCAAAGGATGATTTACTTGGTGCCAAGTACTGTTCTAAGCACCTTACATGAATTAACTCATTTAATCCCCACAGCGACCTCTACCCAATGGTGGGGTAGGGGTGGGGTTGTTATCCCATTTTACAGATAATGAGACTGAGGTATAGAAATGAAGTAATTTGCCTGGTCATAGTAAGTGGTGAGCTGGGACTCAAGGGCACTGGCTCCAGTATGCACACCCTTACCCCTCATGGCTCTGATATTCCACGCTGGCCTCATGACTGCCTCATAATTTAGACCAAACTTTAAAAGAGGCAATGTGTGTCTTTTAAACCCTTTGTGTTTGAACCCTACTTCATCCACCCACAGCAGTACTGTTCGTTCTACCTGAATAGGAGGAAAAAAAAGACAACAAAAAAGAAACACCAACAGACAAGTTTTTTCTTTCCCCTCTTGGTGCATAGCAGTATCTTCCTAAGAACTGCTCACTTTTTCCGGAGGGAGCTATCATCTGGTTGGAATTCATGGGAAACAGCACAGCTGTCCACACCTGATGTGGCTGTGGCACAATTTCCCAGGGCAAGGCTGCAGAACTGGGGTGTCTTTCCCAGTGAGTAATCGAAGCCTCTGTCCCTCGTTGACTTCCCAACCAGCAGTGCCACCCCCCACCAATTGTTTGAGCTTTAAGTTTTAAGTGTGAGCTAGCCGTTTTTTTTTTTTATCGTCGTTTTGTGGGGGTCATAAAACAGGATCCAAAAATCCTTCCTGTCCTTCCACTTCAATGGTCGTTTTGGCAAGTTGAGGAGGCTCTGGGCAGAGGGCCGTGCAGTGAAGCTGAACGGACTGTTCCTTTAAGGAAAACCGCTCTTCCCCTTGATTAAATGAGTAAATTAGTTCCAGATCCTCTGCTGGAGAGTTGAGCAGTTTAAGAGGGTGAAATAGAAAATGTCTTAAGAAGGATACTGCTGTTCTTTACTTACTATAATAGGAGAAAAGCTTACAAGTCATAGAGAAGGAGTCGTGAAATGGTTTTAGAAATGTATTTTTAAAATGTTTTGGGAAGCCAAGTTCAGCGAATGGGGCCCAGTGCTCAGAAGAGCGCCATGCTTGGTTTAATGCTTTACTTTGAACCATGGGCTCCACATTTTCATTCTGCACTAGGGATTGCAAATTATGGAACTAATCCTGTAAGTGACATACGTTTTAAATCAGTATTGAGTAATTAGGGATACTTTCTTCTCAATTTTAGATAGGATAATATAGCCCATCCAAGTTTGCAAGTCAACTTTTGAGCTGAGTTTTTGTTTTTGTTTTTTTCTTGTAATGCCTAACAGGGTGGTAAGCTCTTGATGTCCATGTGAACTCACTAATCTTTGCTGGAATGTGCCATGGTGAAATTTTGATGCTGGAAAGTACTGAATAAGAAGGCTAAGCATTAGTATCTATAAATTAAAACATGTTGACGATTACTTCCTGCTTTGGTGGGTTATGCCAGGCATTTTGTACAGAATCTGCCTAAAATGGAAAAACAATGATGGGGGAGAATCATATTCTTGTCTTACATTGGGTCCTCATGGATGGGGACATGACCTTGTCCTCAGTTATAACCTGTTGAGGGACTGACTCAGGAACCTGGTCTAGGCTCAAGTTAACTTGGCAACCACAACCCCAGCGTAGTGCCTCCTTCCTGTCAGCCAAGAGATCCAGAGGAACAGACTTCCAAGGATGTCTGCATGCTTCAGGGAGCTAGGCTTATGCTTACATAGTTCATCAGGTTTAAAAAGTGCTAGAATTTTTTGTTGGTCCTTTGTTTTGGCAAAGATTCTGTTACTCCGGCCAACAACATTATGGTGAACTGAGGATAAACCCCATAGCCCTCCTTATTTTCAGCCAATAATACGGGAATCAATAATATGGGAATATTCCACTCCAAGAATGCACTGTGGTGTTTCTTATAAAGTGGGTTGGAAGGGGTTTGCCAGAAAACAAGGTTGTCTCAGCCAAGGCATCGCAGCTCACAGCAGGCTATGAGAGGGCACTTGGAAGAGCCATAGCATGGGCAGTAGGGCAGGCACTGGGAAGAATGCCAGACACTCTGAAGGACTGGGAGTGAGTCCAGTCTAAGAGGTTGGCTGCAGCAGTCAGCACTTGGGATCTAGACTAGGAGTCACTTTGGGCAAGTCTCCCCCGATAGCAGTAGGGTTGTGGTTGCCGAGTTGAGAGCATAGACCAGGTTCCTGAGTCAGCATCTGTTACAACGGAGAACATCAGGGTCATGTCCTCACTGAAGGCTCAGTATAAGACAAGAACCTGATTCTCTCCTGTTGTTGTTTCTCCATTTTAATAGAAGATTCTGTACAAAGCAGAGTGGGGGACATGGGTCAGAGTGAAATGATAGAGAATCCAGGAGGAGGTGGTAAAACGGGTAGTACTGCCAGAGTCTGCCTACAGATGCCATGATGCTGGTGTCTGGGGGTAGTGAGAACTGGCAAGCAGCACGGGACTCAGAGGATGCTAAGCTGGCTATCAAGACCAGGGCCTCAGGCACAGAAGTATGAGGCAGAAGCCTGAGTTATTACAACTTAGATGGAGCCCCCTTCGTAGCAGAGATGGCTCAATGTAGAACCTGACAGGCTTAGCCGGGGCTCTGGAAATTTTTTGAGTCTAAGATTAGAGTTAATTCTAGGGACTGAGATTGAGCTAGAACCTCAAATAATGATGAACAGTGGCCCCACTGAGAAGGCAGAAGGAATGCAGTCAGTAGAGACTGGGTAGACCTGCCAACGGGGAACTGCCTTTCAAATATATTCTGTTGGGTTTTCTTAATTTTCTTTAGCAGGATTGGCAAATGTACATATTCTTATTTCCATTTGACATGGCAGAATTGGGAGTACACAGAAGTGCTCGAGTTGATAGATTCATTCTACCTGAGCATCTGACACTCCTTCCAATACCTCTATGCCATTGGTAGACGAGATAACTTGATGAAGTTCCTTCGGCAAGGGTTGCAGCAAAGTGGTGGAAAGCATGGGCTATGGAGCCAGATTGCTAGGCTTTTATTCCAGCTCCATCCACCTCTTCTGACGGTGTTACTCTGGGCAGGTTATTTGGCCTCTTCTGTGATGCAGAAGTGGAGATAATATTTTCCTCACCATGTAGTTAAGAGGATGTAATCAGGCATTCTTCTGTCTGTTTAGAACAGTGCCTCACACGTAAATGCTCAATGAGCATTGACTATTATGTAGAAATAAATACATCTTTTTAAGACATGGTCTTGTTCTGTGACCTAGGCTGGAGTGCAGTGGCACAATCGTGGCTCACTGCAAGCTTAAGCTCCTGGGCTCAAGTCATCCTCCTGCCTCACCCTCTGGAGTAGCTGAGACTGCAAGCATGGGCCACCATGCTCGGCTAATTTTCTTTCTTTCTTTTTTTTAGTAGAGATAAGGTCTTGGCATATTGCCCAGGCTGGTCTTGAACTCCCGGCCTCAAATGATCCTCCTACCTCAGCCTCCCAAAGTTCTGGGATTACAGGCATGAGCCACCATGCTCAGCCAAAATAGACTTCTCTAGGGAAGGTTTCAGTTGTTAAGTAATCGCTACCTAGTGAGTAGATGGATCCTCGGTCAGGCTACTCCTGAAGAGTAAATACTGGGTAAGTCATTCCCGTTTAGTCTTAGGAATCTTTAAACAGCAAGATGTTTTTAATTAATTGGATTTGCCCATAAAAATTGGGAATTTTAGTAAGAGATTGAGAGATTTAGAACCAGGAAGTTGGAGTCTGAGTCCTTGCTGTGCCACTTCCTGACTTTGTGAGCCTGGGCAATTTTCCCATGTCTCAATTTCCTTATCTGTGAAAATGACCCATAATGGGGATAACAGCTCACCACACAGAATTATCCCAAGAATCACAGGAAATAATAGAGCAAAAGCACTTTTAAAACAGATGTGTTGGGCGTTTTTATTCCCTGGATGCAAACCTACTGAAAGCAAGTAAAGGTACTAGTTGTCTGTAGGGTAGGCAATAGGAAGCCATGCTGGAGTTTAAAACTGAAGTGCAGAAAATCCCTAGCTTCGGATATGGATAATTGAGTAAGGTCTCCAGGTGTGTCACAAAACAGACATGCAGTCAGTTCTGAGGACTCTTCTATCTCTATCTGTGACATTCTCTTACCAATCGCCAGATTGTACTTTTATGTCCCCTCTACTCAAGCAGAGGATTCAGACCCCACTCCGGTGAATCCTTGCTATGATGGGAGCCACATGTGTGACACAACAGCACGGTGCCATCCGGGGACAGGTGTAGATTACACCTGTGAGTGCGCCTCTGGGTACCAGGGAGATGGACGGAACTGTGTGGGTAAGAGCTATGTTCTCGTGTCTCCTTCTTGTAGCCCTTGTTCTTCCTCTGCCCTCCCAGCATTATATCTGTAGAAGACAAGTATCTGTCACCTTTACAACCTCCATTGCCAATGATTTTAGCAGCTGTTAATCTGAATATAGTTATTTAAAAATTAAAGCATAGCTGTTTAGGTTTGAAAAGATGGTTTGGAGTGGAGTGGATTTTGCACTGGGGCTGTGAAAAGAAAACATCTGTTGCAATTCCTGGATGTTTTGAGTTAAGTTTTGTAATTTTGAGCCTGTAATAAGTAGTTCTTAAACTTACTAAAAATCTCATTTTCTGGTTTTCTTTAAATTTTAGACAGACATTGTGTTTCTTATATCCCCAAAAGGCAACGGTAGAAATTTTTTGATATTAAAAAAAAAATTGTTGGTTTTCTTCCAAGTATCCATTATTTTTAAAACAGTTAAAGAAGTCTTAGAATATTCACTTAAAAATGTATCTTCCTGTGGTGTTTACTTGAATGGCATGAAATTTTTACTATTTCTGGTTATCTGCAACATGCATTCATATCTGATTTTTAAGAATTCTACATCTGCCAACCATTTGTCCCATTGAAGCATCATACTGGTCAGAAAACTTTGAGTTTTTAGACCCTCCACTTCTGGGACCCTTGAATTAAGCAGAATTTTTCTGTTCTCATTTCTTCTTAGATGAAAATGAATGTGCAACTGGCTTTCATCGCTGTGGCCCCAACTCCGTGTGTATCAACTTGCCTGGAACCTACAGGTGTGAGTGCCGGAGTGGGTATGAGTTTGCAGATGACCGGCATACTTGCATCTGTGAGTTCCAAAATCATTTTCTTGTGTGGCCACAATGGTGCTCTTTAATCTTGCCTTTTATCAATGTTTTGACTTCTGCTATTCAGAGGCTCTGCTATATGGTTTTCTTTAGAAGACAGTTTACATTAAAATAACCCAAAGCTGGCTGGATGTAGTGGCTCACGCTTGTAATACCAGCACTTTGGAAGGCTGAGGCAGGTGGATCGCTTGAGTTCAGAAGTTCAAGACCACCCTGGGCAGCATGGCAGAACCCCATCTCTACAAACAATACAGAACATTAGCCAGGTGTGGTGGCACAAGCCTGTAGTCCCAGCTACTCAGGAGGCTGAGACAGGAGGATTGCTTGAGCGCAGGAGGCAGAGGTTGTAGTGAACTGAGAGCATGCCAGTACACTCCACCCTAGGTAATAGAGTGAGACTGTCTCAAACAAACAAACAAAACAAAATCTCTCGAAGCTATCGCTCAGTTTCAGCCCTGTTTATTTTCACTGTTTTTCCCTAAATTGATATTTTTGGTGTTGAGTTATTGAAGGATGCCCACCGCAGTTGGGATTTCTGGCCCAATCATGAAATAAGATGATGAACCTCTCTAGTAAACACCTCCAGCTCTTTAGATAGAGCCTAAAGTATTTTTCAAATTAGAAGAGATGGATTCATCATTCACTGATGCATGTCCTACTTGACTGGCTAAAGAGCTCCTTCTGTAACCAAATTACCCCTTCTATATTTCCAAAAAATACTACAGACCTAAGAATGGATCAAAAGAACTATCCTAATTCATCCCATTGATAAAGCTGGATGAGAGTAAAGAAAATGCACTCTTTAGCCAGGCATGGTGGTTCACGCCTGTAATCCCAGCACTTTGGGAGGCCGAGGTGGGCGGATCATGAGGTCAGGAGTTCGAGACCAGCCTGACCAACATGGTGAAACCCTCTCTATTAAAAATAGAAAAATTAGCTGGGCGTGGTGGCTTGCGCCTGTAATCCCAGCTACTCACGAGGCTGGGGCAGGAGAATCACTTGAACTCTGCAGCTGGAGGTTGCAGTGAGCCGAGATCGCACCACTGTACTCCAGTCTGGGTGACACAGTGAGACTCCATCTCAAAAAGAAAAGAAAAGAAAATGCACTTTAATTCACTGGGATAAGGAGGGGTAGAAATGATAAGAGAAAACCGTGTGTGTGTGTGTGTGTGTGTGTGTGTGTGTGTGTGTGTGTGTGTGTGTAGCAATTGCTCTGGAGTGTTATAAACTTTAATTGAGGACTGCTTAGGTGATGGGTTTTTGTGCTTAATATTTTAACCACAAATTCATACCAGTACTTGAACTTTAATAGCATACGAACCATCTAGGAATCTTGTTAAAATCCCAGATTCTGAATCACTGCCCCTGGAGTAGGGTCTGAGAACCTGCATTCCCTGGTCTGTTGCTGTTGGTCTGTGGATCATGCCATGAGGAGCAAGGCTCACCCTTTGCAGGCCTAAACTCTTGGACGCGCTTGCCTTCTTCTCTTTTCAGTGATCACCCCACCTCCCAACCCCTGTGAGGATGGCAGTCATACCTGTGCTCCTGCTGGACAGGCCCGGTGTGTTCACCACGGAGGCAGCGCGTTCAGCTGTGCCTGCCTGCCTGGTTATGCTGGCGACGGGCACCAGTGCACTGGTGAGTAACTGCGGGTCAGCTTCAGTGAGTGGAAAGTCGCCTTGGATGCACATCCCCACATAGATGGAGATCTCCCAGAAAAGACAAAGGACTTCCTTTGATTCTAACAGCCTTGTGGCTGCCAAAATAGCGAGGAAAAAAGCATCCTTTGAATTAGAAAGGGGAGCCAAGGGTGATTTCCTGTGGACTAGATGGACGAGCATATATGGCTTCCTTGGCGGAGACATTCCTGTAGCACTCAGGAGCTTCTAACATTGGTTCCTTGGAGCCAGTGCAGACTGGAGGAATTTAGGGAAAATTGCATACCTTCCTGTTAGGCAGTCTCCACCTTTCAATCTCTTTGGTTAATGGCTTAATTCAACACTTATGATTGTGCCATTCTCCTGCTTTAAGTGATATTTTAATCTATCTCTAAACACATATATAATTTCTAATTTTTCTCTTGCAAAAGAGAGAACTCCACACATATAAAAAGACACACATATCGAAACTTTTCTCCCAGAAATCTATCTTTAAGACTTAATGCAGTATTTTATAAAAGCACCAAATCATTTGCAAGGCTAGCCATTGCAATTTAACTTGGAAAGAACGTGTGAGGTTGTTATTTAAAGGTTAGACGTAACTCTCTGAGTATAAAATGTCCATGAAACTAGGATTAGGAGTACTTTAAAATAGAAATCATTCAATAAATCTACTTAAATCACAAAAGGTTTTCCAAACATACCCTGTGCTATGTGATGAGATTGAAACTCGGTTTCATGTGAGTCACACACACAGGGTGTAAAACAACACACTGGGGATGAGAGAATGGTGGGAGAAGTGTTTGGAATGGGAACGGGCCTGCTGGGGAACATGAACCTTAAAAGGCAGGCTTTCCCCTGCTCCTGGTGTTGCTGTCTGCATCTGTTGCCATCCACCCAGGCCCACTGAGCTGATGTGCTAAGAACAGCTTTGCAATTCCTGGGAGCTTTATACCAGATCCAAATAGCACGGGCCTCCTTCCTCCTCACCAGATGTTTGATTCTCATCCTTCTGCCATTCCTTTTTCCCTTTGGTTTCAGCAGGATGGGCTGAGTGGACAGCAGGCTGAGGGCATGCGTCACTGACAGAACAAAGGTCACTGTGACAGCAGCTCAGCTCTCCACTTCTCCCTGGATGGGGCAGGTGCACATGGTGGTTTCTGAGCCTCATCCTTACTCTTTCTACTTGTGCTGTACAGAAGCTCTGCTGCATGGTTTTCTTGAGCAATTTATGCTGAACTAACCCAAAGCCGTGACTCAGTTCAGCCCCCCGCCCCTTTTTTTTTTTTTCCTAAATAGATATTTTTGGTGGTAGTATTGAAAGTTGAGGCTATGGCTTGAATATTTGCCTCTCCAAAACTCATGTTGCAACTTACATTCCAATGTGGCAGTATTGAGAGGTAGGGCCTTTCAGAGGTGGTTGGATCATGAGAGCTCTGCCCCTATCAGTGGATTAATGAGTTATCATGGGAAGGGAACTAGAGGCTTGATAAGAAGAGAGACCTGCCTAAAATAACATGTTAGCACACTCAGCCCCCTCACTATGTGATGTCCTGCACCACCTCAGGCCTCTGCTGAGAGTCCCCACCAGCAGGAAGGCTGCCACCAGATTTCGCCCCTTGACCTTAGACTTCTCAGCCTCTAGAACTATAAGAAATAAATTCCTTTCCTTTAGCAATTACTCAGTTTCAGATATTCTGTTATAAACAACAGGAAATTGACTAATGCAGATGGTAACCCTCAGTTGGGATTCCTGTGTGTCTTGGTATTAGGCCCAGTCATGTAAGAAGACTATGGACCTCTTGAATAAACACCCCTAGCTCTAGATAAAGAGTATTTCCCAATTAGAACGAGGTAGATTTGTAATTCACAGATGTTTGTCCCACTTAACCAGCCAGGAGCTCCATCTGTCATAGATATACTGGTGAGAAAACATTGAGTATATCTGTAATAGATATACTCTTTACAGATACCCTCTACAGGTATGGAGTTCAGGGTGAGATGCCAAAGCCTGACAGTGGGAATGATGCTTTTCCTTCTTGTGGAACACATCATTTGGTTTGGTTTAACCCTAGTACCAGCTCTAAGAAATGTGAATCCATTGAGAAAAATCTTGTCTGTAGAATTTCTTATTTAAACATCTGGCTGCTCAGATCAGCAGAGATGCTGCTTTTAAAATATTTAATTCCTTAGTGTTCTGGTTTAAAGCAAAGAAGTTGAAATTAATTTCAGCCTAGATATGATGAGTGTTAATCAGAATATTAATTTAGATGCTGCATGCTTTGATCACTTCTAAAATGATTCTTCTCTCCCTCCTTTTTTCCTTTATTTGTCCTGCAAGACTTTGGTTACCTTCTGGGGTCATGTTAGGGCTCTGAAATTGGCTACTTTTTCATATTGGGAATTTAAGTATTGTCTTTTATTTGCCCTCTCTATTTTTGCCATTTTCAATTGTCCCTATTTTATTTCTGGCTCTCTGCTTTTAGGATTTTATTTAGGCTCTCTGCTTTAGGTTATCTATTGCTGTGTAATAAATTACCCTAAAGTGTAGCAGCTTCAAACAATAGACATTTAGTATCAGTTGTCCAGGGACCTGGGAATGGCCCAGCTGGGTCCTGTGCTTTAGGATCTCTCACAAGGCCACAGTCAAAGTGTCTGGTGGGTCTGTGGTCTCATCTGCAGGCTTAACTGGGGAAAGATCCACTCATGGTAATGGGCAGGATTCGGTTCTTTAAGGACCATTGGATTGAAAGCCTTGGTTCCTTACTGGTTGTTGGTTGCCTTCAGTTTTTTGTCACTTGGGCCTCTCTAACATGACAGCTTACTTTATTAATGCCAGAGAAAGTCTGCTAGCAAGATGGAAGTCATAATCACAAAAATGACATCCCTTCAATGTTGCTTTATTGATTAAAAGCAAGTTACTAAAAGGGCAGGGATTACACAAGACCATGAATCCCACTAGGTAGGGATTGCTGGGGGCCATCTTAGAGGCTGCCTACCACAGCCACTTACCATGTGGCTGCCTTCTAAACTTCCAGATTGTGGAGTAGTAGAGAATGAATGGTCATTTTCCTAAAGACCCGTGCATAAATCAGGCTAGGCTAATCATGAAAGGAACTTGAAGAATAAATATAGAAATATAGGTGTATGTGTGCATATTTAAAGGCATTCCATAGTACACATGTGTCTCAGTGACAAAGAATAGAGGCTGTATTTTGTGGGAGCTATGCATTGTTAAAGCACATGTGCTCTTTTACTCCATCAAACTAACAATAAGGGGGTGTGGGAGTTTTTCTCCAGCCACAGTTTGTTAAAAACCCGGCTCCCTGGAGAGGCTGCACTTGGATTTGGGTTCTCAAGTCTGGTCTGAGTCACTGGCCAGGAGGCTTTTATCCAAGTAGAGTTAAATCTTCTGCAGCTTCCCTCAATCTGGAGTGATTTCAAACTTGTGTTGGTGTGAGCTGGATATTTCTCAGACATGTTTGTCCTTTTGGATTGTTGTGACTTGGCCAGGTGCAAAAGCAAATTGTCTTGAGTTGGGACCTTCCCAGGAGGAGCAAGTGTGAGTGGAGGAAGCTGGGTTACAGATGGCCCATTACCCAGAGTCATCATTACTCAGGAGGGGCCTAAGGGTAGATACTGACATTATTCTTTCTCGGGTTTCCTGGTGTTTTTCTTTTTCTTTTCTTTTCTTTTCTTTTCTTTCTTTCTTTTTTTTTTTTTTTTTTTTTTGAGGCAGGGTCTTACTTTATCACCCAGGCTGGAGGGCAATGGTGTGATTACAGCTTACTGCAGCCTCAGCCTTCCAGGCTCAAGTGATCCTCTCACCTCAGCCCTCCAAGTAGCTGGGACTACAGGTGCATACCACCATGCCCAGCTAATTTTGGTATCTCTTGTAGAGAGGGGATTTCATCATGTTGCCCAGGCTGGTCTCAAACTCCTGAGCTCAATCGATCTACTCCCCTCAGCCTCCCAAAGTGCTGGGATTGCAGGCGTGAGCCACCACACCCGGCCTAGCTTCTCTCTTTTTTGATAACAAAAGCGTTATCTCCATTATGTGCCTGGCCAGGTTTCCTGTTCCAACAATGTAGGTAGATGTTGGGTATGGTATGGTAAAATCAGTGTGGTTACAGGAGGAGGCAAGGATGAAACTTGAAAGGAAGTAGTTTATTACACTCACAGGTCTGCAGTGGGTTCACCACATGCCACGCAGGGGTGCAATCAGCAGGGTGCCCAACTGAACAGATTATGGAGTAGAAAGAGAGTGGGACCTGTGGGCTGAAGCCTTTATTGGGATCTGGGGTGGGTTTGAGGTTAATTGATGCCAGGAAATTTCACTGGGCTCAAAGGCAAGTGGGCGGTGGTGAAGGGGCGGGAGCCTGGGGGAACTCAAGGCCAGTGGTTAGGTTTATCATCAAGCAGTTCCTAGTGGTTTTGCTCAGTATTGGGGCAGTGAGAAGGATGTTGAAGCACAAAAGCATGAACTCAAAGGATTTTTAACACATCTTCCAAACAGTTTCTTTACCAGCTTAATAGATGATAGAGTAGAGGATTGCATTGAGATTAAGCTACCTTTCATTACCTGAGTGAGAAAGGGGCTCTACTACTTCTTGAATATTTTTGTCTTTATAGCAGTCCCTACAGACCTCTGATAGTAATGACTAAGCATAAGCAGTGGCCTCCTTCTCCAATGGTGCAATAAAGTTCCTCCCTTGCCAGGGGGCTGAAAGTCTTTCCATGTTTTCTCTGTTGATATCTGAAGTCGTGTGCATGCATGCTCAGGGCCTGGAGGGACTAGCTGGACTCTCGTCTCTATCATGGTGTGAGAGGCCCTCCAAGGAGGAGTCAGGACTGCAATTCAGGGAGTCTAGATCTTTGGGGCAGGAATTTCTCACTTGTGATATCTTCAGTCTCTTTGGGGACTTTCTCCTCCTTGTTGGTCATTTCTAATAGCTTCTATCTACCTAAAACTTTAGTATCTTTGATGATGCCAACAGTATCTTTGGGGAGGAAGGCTGGTTTTTCAGATTTAGTCAGAATTCTTAGGCTGAAGGTTCTAAGCACATCAGTGATTTATTTGGTAGCTCTGGGGAATCCCCTCTCTCTTTAGTTCAAAAATAACAATAAGAAACTGCTCCATGGGCTCCAGAAATAGGCCCTGTGTCTCAGGAATTCCTGCTTCCTGTCATTTCTTGGGGTTCCTGTTACCATTAGAAGTCCTTTTAGCATGTGTATTGTGAATAGCTTTAATTTCCTGCATTTGGCTGGATGTTAATTTTTACAGCTTTAGTTTTACAGCCTCTTCCAGGTCCAAGGTGTTGGATGGTCAGTTCATCGGTTTTGCCCAGCTAGGCATTTGAGTTGCCCTGTTGAAGAGACAGAGCCAAGCTCAAGGATAATTATGACAACATTGGTTGATTTTTGGGCAACTGAGGAGCCAACCAGAACACTTGGTTTGTTTCTACCCTTGCAGATGAATTAATATCTGCTTTCTTGCCTTTGTAGGTGAAATGATGGTATCCAGGGAGGCCAACCACTCACCTGGGTAAAGACTCTGTGGGTTGCATTGAGTATTCAGAACTTTTTGGGGGAGGACTCCAAGGAACTGATATATGCTGACTAAACTCCCCAGAGACAGAAGATAGGCAGAATGCTTACTTTCTAATTATAACTTAAAAGATTCCTCTCCAGTGAACAGAATACCTTATGCTTAATGCCCAGTGTGTGTAATTAGTGGTACTCGAGAAAGAACATGAGTTACTAGAGGATAAGCCAGTGACAGCGTGGTCTGGACAAAGGGTGGTGCAGGTAACCCTAGAAGAAGTTCCATGTGGGTCATGGGAGGCTGGGTGAGGAGCTAGCCCTGTTCCCAACCCACTCACATCAAATCTAGGGCTTCAAATCTCTGTCTTCCCAGGCTGATGTGTCTCTACCGTGGGCTGCACCTTACTGATGCAACACACGCTCATTTTCTAGGTTTTACCCTGATCACACCATCCCACATTTTTTTTTTCTATTCACACATTTTAAAGAAACTTTTGGTTATTACAATGGATGGAACCACTGCTTTGTTTTATTTTCAGCCAAGCCTTAATTGGACCTACACCCTTTGTTTATCCTCCTTTTACTCTGAAAGACTTCCTGTCTCTTAAGATAGCTTATCTCATCCCTTTAACCATTCAATTCTCAGAGCTGCTTTTTTTCTGCTGGGGATGGGGGGTGGGGAGGTGACTTTGTCACATCGACATTGTTGGCATATGCAGATTTCATTAAATAAAAGGAATGTAAGTTGGCTTTTGTTTGAAGTGTCAGGATTTTGTAGTTTTGAGAAATATGATGGTGAAAATTAATCCTTGTGGTGCCATGTGGAGAGTGTAGGGGCCTGAATTGTTTGTACTGATATGCCCAGCAAAATTAGATTTCCATTTTCTAAGTATTATTTTAAAACCCTAGATAATATTCTTTTCTTATTTCTTCTAAAAGTGGAAAGTAAAGAAAATACCTGGCTAATGGGGGTGTGGTTCTAGATAGTAAGATTCTGATTAGGCAAGATGGAATGTGCTTCTTAGCTGAAAAATATTTGGGGCCTCATCTGGCTCCTTTGCATCTAGAGACGAATGTTAGTTACATGGAGATGGTGCCAACAACCAAAGAAAAAAAAAACATTGTTGGATATATTTGTCTTTGTTGCAGCATTGCTGAAAGGAAGTTAATGACTTGTAGTCTAAAGGTTAGTTCAAAGGTAATTAACTTCCTTGAATTCACTGTCAATGAAACATATGCTGTAGGATGTATTTTTTTTTTTCCTTTGAGTGACTACCCATTTGATTTCTACACTGAACATGTTTAGTCTGATGTGTTAACTCATATGTTCCTTGATTTTTTTTTTTCCTTTCTATTAAGCCTACCTTTAGGTGTCAGCATTTTTCTGCTCATGCTCAAAGGTCTTCTGAAGCTGACACCTCACTGGATGATGATCCACATGTCCAAAGCCTATGCAGTCGCACAGATTGTGTGAGTGAAGTCATAGTGTTCTTTGCTTCTCTCTTCTGTTTCTGACCTCTGCAGATATAGACGAATGCTCAGAAAACAGATGTCACCCCGCAGCTACCTGCTACAATACTCCTGGTTCGTTCTCCTGCCGTTGTCAACCCGGATATTATGGGGATGGATTTCAGTGCATACCTGGTAAGTTTTAGAGGGCCAGATTAGGCACATGAATCTCTTAGCTCCTTCAAGGGTATTTTTCTATGACAGCCCACTCTTGATTTAGCCTGATCTGAAGCCTTGCTGGATTTTCCAGGCTGTGGATTCTTTTTCCTCGGTTACCTCCTGCTGCCTAGTTTACTGATAGTTCACTGATTCGTGACATTCCTGGAGGCCTGCAGGAGATGACCCATCCATTGTCCCATCTCATAGCAGCTCTGGTTAACTGCCCTAGTGATCCGCTTGACCTTGACGAATGCAATTTGGATGAAGTGTTGAGATCAAGCTTATTAAACAGGAGCCATATGTGCCGCTAGCCAGGGTTAAGCCTGTGGCGACCGTGTTAGAGGAGCTTGGCCAGCTTGGTGCAGTCTAGTGACTGCCGTTGGCCTGCAGCTTCTCAGACTTAACCTCTGGGACTTGGGATGAATGAGCTTTGGCTTGTTTTCTCCAGAGTCTCTTGGGATGTTGGGCAGATGCCACGGCTGCCCCTCATTTTCCCCAGATGATAATAGGGAGGGGCTGGACTGCTTTACACTTAGAGCCAGCTAGGGACCTATGGGATGAACTGGAAGAACCGGGGAGAGACGAGAAAAATAGTGGCAAGGTATTATAATGTAAGAATCTAGGGCTCCAAAATCCTAGTGCCTTTCCATGCCATGCTGTGGGCTGGTGAAGTGGATGGGTTGCAATGCCTTCTATTTGTCTTCTGTGTCTTCCTCTGCCTTGATCCTGGAAGACTCCACCTCAAGCCTGACACCTTGTGAAGAACAGCAGCGCCATGCCCAGGCCCAGTATGCCCACCCTGGGGCCCAGTTCCACATCCCCCAATGCGACGAACAGGGCAACTTCCTGCCCCTGCAGTGTCACGGCAGCACTGGCTTCTGCTGGTGCGTAGACCCTGATGGTCATGAAGTTCCTGGTACCCAGACTCCACCTGGCTCCACACCGCCTCACTGTGGACCACCACCAGGTGAGCTTAGGCCTGGGGCTAAAGAAGCAGAATGGCACTGGTGGCAGGTAGATCATAATTCCTGCCCAGACCATGCAGGCACAGGGCCAGTCACCATCCTTCATAGCCTCTTTCCTCCTGAGAAGACTTGAATAATAGTGCGTACATATATTCGTGTTTGTGTCATAAGGACATAGAGATATACAATACATGACACATGATCTGTTACACATTGGCCTCTTAGACCCTTGTCCAGTACAAACTGGAAGTTGAGATTGTGTATGTAGGTCAGACTGAGACCCACTACCTTAGACCTGTTACAGCATCTTAGAGAGATCTGACAGTTAGAAGATCGGGCCAGACTGGCATTTTGATAAGAAGGAAAACTGCCTTCCTATGTAACTATCTCGCTTACCTCTGCCTTCTGAATGACAGGAAACAGTATGAAGGCTGTGTTAATATCAATAGGAAAAATAAGAAAAATGACACCTGCTGGTGGAGCCAGCTAGTTTTCTCTAAACTGACAATCCCAGCCCTCTGTAACGTAGCCCAACATCTCAGAGGAGGCACAGGCATCTGGTTTCGGTTAGCCCATATACAATCTGAGAACATGCCTGCTACCATCTGAGCATTCTGCATCTGTGTGGGGCACGGTGATCAAGTGTTCACAGTCGATTCCAACAGCAGGCAGATAAGGCAACTTTCTGTTCCTCGCTGAATTATTCAGGGATGGGTAAAACTTTTTTCCTTAATCATTACAGAAAAACTTTATTTAATGAAGAGCATAGGATTGGCTTGATACCGTTTTAGCCAAAATGATTCCTATACAGCTTGCTATCCAAAGATCCATTTTTACTATCGAGAAGGGTTCCATAAATACTAGTCTTGGCTTTTAATGTGTGAAAGTAAAAAGAACTGGAGCATTACCCCAATAGTTTTTTCCCCTTTTAATGGTGTTAATGGTTGCCCGGGTACGGTGGATCATGCCTGTAATCCCAGCACTTTGGGAGGCTGAGGCGGATGGATCACGAGGTCAAGAGATTGAGACCATCCTGGCCAACATGGTGAAACCCTGTCTCTACTAAAAATACAAAAATTAGCTGGGCGTCGTGACATGCACCTGTATAGTCCCAGCTACTCGAGAGGCTGAGGCAGGAGAATCACTTGAACCCAGGAGGCGGGAGGTTGCAGTAGGCTGAGATCGTCCACTGCACTCCAGCCTGGTAACAGAGTAAGACTGTTTAAAAATAAAAAAAAATTTTAAAAGCCAGGTCTTGGTGGTTCCCATATTCATATAGGTAAAAATTGGTAATGGCTTCATCCATAGTCCCTCTTTGTTTCTATTTTTAGGAAAAGATTTTAAAGGTCCAAAAAAGGTACAGAGAAATTCTATTTCCCTCATGCCTTCTCTTTGAAAATGTTCTAACTCCATCTGGGATTTGAAGAAATCAGATGGTTGGGAGGTGCCTTTGGGGAATGGTTCAGAATTCGATTAAATTTATTAAGACAAGCATATGTTCAGGACAATGATTTTAAAGGGGGAACCAAGAGACTGAGAAGTGAATGACGAAAATAGGGCCGTGTTCCCTTGTGCGGACTTTCTCCTGCCTACACACTCTCTTGGCACTGGTTTGGACCCGGCTGCTATTTCTGACTGGTCTCATCTTTGATGGGGTCAGCTTCAGGGAGGGTAAGGATGCTCTGTGCCCCCGATTTCAAAATACTTAAACTCCTGCCAACCAGAAGCACAAGAGAAAGACATTCATGGTTGGGTTGAAAAGTAGCAAATAGTAACGAATGAAAGGGATGCCTATGTATGAGTGATTTGAGACACCCATTTCCCAGGAGTTAGGTGCATCTCTTTGGAAGGCAAACACACAGCACAGGGTGGTCCCTTAAAGCAAAAAAGGATCCTTGGAGGTCTGAATGTGGAGCAGGGGTGGAGTTGGGAACTTCTCCAGGGAATCCTGCAGTGTTTGAGGAAGTAGCATTTCCCTCTCTGTGTTCCATTGAGACACATTTGGGTGAAGAAGTCAGAGTCTTAACCTTCTCCACGGGGTCTCAAAAAGAGCTTTGCCTCCCATGGGTCATAAGCTACAGTGACAACTAAATGGCATTCGCTTCCCCCAACTCTGGTGAGTCGTGCAGTCGAGCTAGTTGGGTTTGAGCTCTGACAAGTTCATTCACAGTCTTTTGTGTTCCAAGAGGAACTGTAGGTGCTGGAGCCTGATCATAATGTTCCCAACTTTGTTCTTTGGAGTCATTGGAGGGTTTTGAGCAGAGTGCCATGAAATGCCTTTATATTTTAAATGGACCATTCTGGCTGCTGCTAATTGAGTTTACACTGGTTTTGCAGAGAGTGAGGGCATAGAAGGGTGGAAGCAGGAAAACCAGTGGGAAGGCTGCTGCAGAAATCCCAGGGAGAGGATGAGGCTTTTGGACCAGGGTGAAGGGGGTACAGTAGTGAGAAGTAAAGATATTCTAAGTGGATTCTGAAGGTACCGCTAAAAAGAGTTTTTGACGAATCAGATGTGGATGGTGGAAGAAAGGAGGGTCAAGGATAATCAGGTCTGAGCAGTGGAAAAATGGAGGTGCCATTTACTCCTATGGGAAAGACTGGGGGAGCATCTGGTTTGATGGTGAAGGCAGGGGGCTCAGTTTCTATCAGTTTCTGATTTCTATTATACATCTAAATGGTGGTAGCAAGTAGGATTATTGGCTATGTGATTCTGCAGACTGTACGCTTTAAGTTGCAGGAATTAAAAAGGAAGGAGAAGTACCTCCTCTTGTTTAAGTTCCTTTGGGTAGTCCTAACATAAATGAATAAGTTATCTCAATAACCTGCTGCAGCAGAGTCTGCTCAGAACCACCTGTATTTTGAACGAAGCCTCAATGGCACTGTGGAAGCAGCCTGGGAGGAAACTGCTTCGCAACCGAAGCCAGAAGGACTTTAACCACAGAGAGAGCTGTGAGGGAGGGGATGAGAGGAGGATGCTGGAGAAAGGGGGGGAAAGGGCAACATGGCAGGAAGCTAGAGCCTGCAGGAAAAGATTCAGCTTTGAGATAATCCCAGGCGCAGGGTGGGTAAAGCACTTCTGGAAACTGGGCTCTGTAAGAACCATTTTTAAGCTGTTTGCCACCACCTCTGCGATACTTCACTACTAATTCCACTCAGTTTTACCTTTATTCCATGTAGTTTTCCAGTGGGTAGACAGAGGGCGCCGTGGCATAGTTGGGCTTTTGGTAATACTTTCTAAGACGCACACTGGCCAGGCGCAAGATGGCCCTCTCCTCAGCAGGTCCTGGAGCTTGAAGCTTGAAACAAGTGGGGAATGAATACAAATTGGCTTTAAGCATCACCTCGGCCACTGAGTCCCCAAGGATCACCTGCACAAATGCTCCGTCAGCAGAGGTGCCCGAGGTGCAGGCAGGATGGGCCTTGTGGGCCTCTCCTGGCCAGAGGGAGATCATGCCCCTTCCCAGGCTGAGTGAGCTGCACTGCTGACCTTACCTCCTCTTATTCTTTCTTGATGTGGCTGGGCCTTGATGACAGACCCTCCTGGCAAGAAAGCAGCATCAGACGATCTCTTTCTGATTCCCATGGTAGAGTACTTAGAACACATTTGCTTCCCAAGTTTGGTGTCCACGGGCTTGGCTGAGACCTGGACAGTAGGAGAAGGAAGGCCAGGAGGCCAGGCATGGGGTCTCGAGCTACATTTTGCATTCTGTCCTTGGCTCACAATCAAAGGCTTTTCTTCTTCCCTCTTCCCCATCTGCTCAGAGCCCACCCAGAGGCCCCCGACCATCTGTGAGCGCTGGAGGGAAAACCTACTGGAGCACTACGGCGGCACCCCCCGGGATGACCAGTACGTGCCCCAGTGCGATGACCTGGGCCACTTCACGCCCCTGCAGTGCCATGGAAAGAGCGACTTCTGCTGGTGTGTGGACAAAGATGGCAGAGAGGTGCAGGGCACCCGCTCCCAGCCAGGCACCACCCCTGCATGTAAGCACCGGGCCGCCCCCGCTCCCCTCAGCTGAACTTAAGGCCTTTGCTAGGGATGCTATCTGCTGTGGTGAAGTAGGGGGACGTGTTGGGGTCACCAGGTCTAATGAAAGAAGTCACTACGTGCTATGTTGATTTATAATCTGGTCCACGCAAGATCCCAATTTGTGTTTGGTGTCTGGTTTTTGTCATTAACAGTTTCCATAATTGGAACATCTGCAACTCGGTTCAGCAGGCAGTTACTCCCCCTCCCAAGCCCAGGGCGACAGGGGACACGTGTCACTCTGGAGTCCTAAAAGGAAGCTGACACAGTGCTGGCTCTATGTTTTTTTTCTTTCTTTCTTGAAAAACAAAAAACCTGTTCTGCTTTGTTCTGAGGGAAGTGTTTTGCTGCCTTCTTCCCTAGTAAATGGCAGATTTACATAATTGATCCTTAAAAAAACCCTAGAAATTAAAATTTCTTTTGAAGAACATCTGGAGCACATCTGCATTGGGCAAAGAGCTTTTGATATTTTTGGAGGCTCTGGTATGTGGTAAAGTAACTTTTCTTCCCATCTCCCTGCCTGCCCTTGTTCCCCTTCCTCCTCTCCCACCCTCTCTCCCACAGGTATACCCACCGTCGCTCCACCCATGGTCCGGCCCACGCCCCGGCCAGATGTGACCCCTCCATCTGTGGGCACCTTCCTGCTCTATACCCAGGGCCAGCAGATTGGCTACTTGCCCCTCAATGGCACCAGGCTTCAGAAGGATGCAGCCAAGACCCTGCTGTCTCTGCATGTAAAGTGGATTTCTGCTGTGGGGGGCGGGGGCTGCGTGGCTTTCCCAGTGGGAGCCACCTCACAGGCCCTGTTGCGGTGCAGTGGACTGGGGCAGGGAAGTCCTGGAGGGTTTCTGAGCTGCAGCCCATTGGCATGGGCCCGATGCCACCACCACAGAACCAGGGCTCTCCGTTGCTGGGGGTCACCTGTCACTGACTAAGGCTGTGCTCTGGTTTGTTCATGGGGTTTCAGATATATGGAAAGGGAACTGTAGACTTGTCAGCATATGGAGGCTGTAGGGTGATCCAAGGGAAAATGGACAGACTCTTCCCTAAGTCCTCAGGGTTCTCTGTATGTCATAACATCTCCATAGAAATCCTGGAAATCAGTGACAGGAGGACTAGCCACAAGGTGTGGTGTCTGCGATTTGTTGAGGACTCCCAAGTTGGAAGTCAGTCAATGACTGTCTCACCGCTGCAGCCCCTTCCCTTTCACTTTGGTTCTGTCCCTTTGACCCACTTCTTTCCTAAGCTTCCCTGACTCTAGATGAAAACTTGAGGTGTGTGTGTGACGCTGGGAGAGGAGTGGATGGCGCCTTCCCCAGGGGATGCTTGATGCTTCCTGAGCCAGCAGCCTCCCTAATGCAAGGCACCCCATTCTGGGGAGAGGGTTTTCTCTAAAATGGGGGAAAAACAAGGGTAGCTCTCTAAAACAGCATCGACACAGTGGAAAATAATCTAATTCCATTGTTGAACTTCACACTCCAGGCACTTGCTCATCCATAAGAAAGAATAGTATGGCATTCATGTTTACATTTACTTCTGTAAATGAACGACTTATTTGGTTCCAGAAAAGCTGAGAAACAGCCAGTGTTTTAGGAAGAGATGTGTTCTTTTTAAGATTCGAGTTTTTGGGTCCTATCCCCTCCCCCAAGAAAACTCTCACATTGTTTTGTAAAACTTTCTCTGGAAGAGGCAGAGACTAAGAAGTTGACATCACTTTAAGCTAACCTTCTTTTATTCTAGTCAAGTCATAGAGCTTGATTGCCTTTCTGAACATGCCCCTGACCGGGACAGGGTGGTGATGGTAGTGGTAGTGGAACTGAAAGAAATGGGACATGGGTTATTTGCACATTTTAGGGAAATTTACTTAAAGGAAAAAACTGGGACGTTTTCTCTAACCTGAGGTTATGACATGGGTTTATGAATCCCATGATTCCCTGGGTTAATGGAAGCTCATTTCAACGTGTACTCTTGCCTGGGACAAATGACCTTTTAATTTTCAAATAAAAGTGTAGTTGACCTTAGCCCTCCCCTCCCACCCCCCCACTGGAGCCAAATCCCGTTTTGTACAATCTTTCTTGTGCTATGCTCCCAGGGGGCGTAAGTGAAGCCAAGCCCCAGGAGGCTGTTAGGCAAGGCAGGAACTTGTAAGACCTCAGGGACAGCCAGATAATCCCTGAGTGTTGGCTTCTCAGAGCAGGAGCCTGGATTGAACATTGAACAAAGCAAGTTCTGCATGGAGTTGTAGAAAAATGTCAGACTCAGCATTTTTTAAAGACTCATTTATTTAGCAATGAGGAGAGACCTCACTAGCCAGAGGTTGGATGACCACTACTCCCTAGTTCCTTAACCCAACAAATTATAGACTTTTTCCTTCTTTTGAGACAGGATGTAGCTCTGTTGCCCAGGCTGGAGTTCAGTGGCACCATCTCAGCTTGCTGCAGCCTTGACCCTCCTGGGCTCAAGCGATCCTCCCACCTCAGCCTCCTGAGTAGCTGGGACTACAGGTGCGTGCCACCATGCCCAGTCAATTTTTTTTTTTTAGACGGGGTCTCACTATGTTGCTGTCTCAAACTCCTGGGCTCAAGCAATCCTCCTGCTTTGGCCTCCCAACGGACAGGAATTACAGGCGTGTCACTGTGCCTGGCTATACTTCAATACAGGATATAACCAATGTCTTGTCTCCTTCTAAGAGTCTGGGGCAAGAGTATAGGTGATTGCACTTCAGGTAGAGGAAAGATCTCATATTCACAGAGGAGGGGAGAGTAGATTTTGTTGGCATATAGTGGCAAATTTTATTAAGGCTCTTGGAAAAGTGCTGATGACATCGGAATTCAGTTTTTACCCAGTAAAATATTAAAAACTTATTTCGCTTAAGGCCATGTCCTCTAATTACTGAAGGAGCTGGTTTTCTTTTTTTAAATCAGTCATAATAGCACTTATTGAAGGGCTTACTGTATAACAATTACTAATTAGGAGACTTTACAAGCATTTACAGTATTTTTATAGAAACCATATGAAGCAGGTACACTATTGGCCTCATTTTGCAAATGAGACAAAGGCATAGAGAGGTTAAATGCCCAAAGCCGCAAGGCTAGTAAGTGGCTGAGCCTGGATATCACCCCAGAGTGCCCACATGTCCAGCTACTCTGCTCTGCTGCCTGCAGGATCACAGTGCAGTGTTGCTCAGTGCAGCTGTGCATGAGCAAGGCAGCTGAGTGTGAACAAAGGGGAAATGTAACCTAATTCTTCTATGATTTGGTGCACAAAGGGCTCCATAATCGTGGGGATTGATTACGACTGCCGGGAGAGGATGGTGTACTGGACAGATGTCGCTGGACGGACAATCAGCCGTGCCAGTCTGGAACTGGGAGCAGAGCCTGAGACGATCGTGAATTCAGGTCAGCAGCTTCACTCAGCAGAGTCTGCATTTCATTTGATTCTACAGTCACTTGTCTACTATATGCTGAAGTCTCCCGTCGATTTTTCTCTCCTAGGGGAGGTTAAGTTTTAGGCAAGTAATTTTATTGAGCTGTATAAGACTAGCCCCTCTGTAAGCAAACACCTTCATACATAAGGAATGAAATAGGTGATTCCTACTGTGAGCGATTCTCAAAAGAAAAGAACTCATGGTAAGAATTCGGGATGAGGCCTTATTCAGTCTGGCTCTGGCACTGTGGATGCCGGCTGTCATCAAACTGGTAGGTCTGGTCTAGAAGCTAGAGGTAGTAGAATATGTAACAAAAGTACTCGTTTCTCTATTAACCTGGTTCTTGGGGACTTAGAGCCACTTGGGCTTTGTTTTCCCCTGCTGACCCCCTGCCCCACCCCACTCCTGGAGGGCTTCAGGTTTGCCCTCCATTTCCAGTCCTGACTTTGCTTTATTTCCAGGTCTGATAAGCCCTGAAGGACTTGCCATCGACCACATCCGCAGAACAATGTACTGGACGGACAGTGTCATGGATAAGATAGAGAGCGCCCTGCTGGATGGCTCTGAGCGCAAGGTCCTCTTCCACACAGATCTGGTGAATCCCCGCGCCATCGCTGTGGATCCAATCCGAGGGTCAGCTGGGCTTCCCTAATTCTCCTCTTACCTGTAGATCCTGATGTGAAGCCCTTGGGTTTTAAATAGTGTGAGGAAGGTCAGAACAAGAGTGTGTGAAAGCTCAAATGCATTCCTGTAACAAAGATTTACTGAGGATCTACTAGGCGTCAGGACTTGCTCTAGGAAAAGACAAGGTCTGTTCTTTCATGGCCTTATATTCTATTAGTAGGAAACAAGACTGTATAAACAGTATTAGTCTGTGATGTGATATGTAGAAAATTCAGATCGTGTTGTGAGAATTAGGGCTACTCTGAATCAAATGATCAGGCAAGGTCTCAGATGACACTTAAACTGGAAGTGAAGTGGGACTCCTCCAGCAGCACATTTAGAAACCAGGGTTGAAGCCCACGGTAGGGCTGACCTACATCAAGTGACATTAACCAAAGCTCAGGCAGCACCTCTGGCCTCAGTGTTGCTGTAGCAGAAATCAAGATAAACATTTTCCCTGTCTGTGATAATTGCTAAGGTCATCAAATGTGACATACAGGATTTGTTCAGTGTCTCAGTACTTGTTAGAACCAGGGTGAATTTTTATATCTTGAGAAACTCTTGCCATGTTTAAGTGGAGTTTCTGTGAAATGAAATTCCCTGATGCCCTTCAAATCAGTAAAGAAAACCTTCAGCTTTAATTTTCAGGTAAGTGCTTTTTGACTATGAAATACTTAGTGCAGAGCCTCAAAGGTGGTTTCAAACTTTGGGTTCTACACAAAGGAAAAGGTGTATCTCTATTCCAGTTGACTTAACAACATGAATTAATAGCCCTCTTAAAAACTCTTTCCATAGGCTTGCCTTTCTGACATTTGGAAGTTTTTTGTTTTTTTTTTTTTTTTAAACAAGGTCTTGCTTTGTTGCCGAGGCTGGAGTGCAGTGGCACAATCTCGGCTAACTGCAAACTCTGCCTCCTGAGTAACTGGGATTACAGGCATGTGCCACCATGTCCAGCTAATTTTTGTATTTTTAGTCGAGACAGGGTTTTGCCATTTTGGTCTCCAACTCCTGACCCTGGGTGATCCACCCGCCTTGGGTTCCCAAAGTGGCTGGGATTACAGGCATGAGACACTGTGTCTGGCCCCTCATTCCTTCTTGGTACTTGACCTGAAAACTGGGGAGAGCTGTCATCTTGTAAGCAATGATACCTTGGCCATGTCTCTGGAGTCTGGGTAAAAAGCATACTTTTAAGCTGAAATCCACAACACAGCCAAGATGAAAGTAGAATTTTCTTATCCAGACAGCAAATAGAAATGCTAAAGGACTTAATTTTTAATGAAAAGAAAACCCACCTTGAACCAGGTTTCAATAAAACACATGTATTACATCTCCCTGAACTGCTTAACAGAATGGTTGTCAAGCCTTCCTGCATATTTCTCATTTGCTTTCTATAGATTTCACCTTGACAACTTTCTTCCTCTGGCAATCCCCCAAATAATCTAAACCAAATACCTGTGTGAGCTTATTTCAGACGTTTTTGATGATATTAAATCATTTTGGGGAGGAGACTGATCAGAAGGGATGAAGGAATGATAATGCATGCTTTACCTTCTGGCCACTTCTACCTTAGCACAAAGTGGAAACTGCTTTCTGGCTTTTGCTCTCAGCTTCTCTCTGCTTCATCTATTGGGCATAAGGGATGAAATTCACAACAGGGGTGTAACCTATGGTTTCTTCTCTCTCTGAGGTTCTCTATAGCTCAACTGCTTTATTCAAAGCTTCTATAGCTTTTATAAAACAGTATTTTATAAAAAGTGCTTTCAACATTATTTCTGCTCTATAAACCTGTTTCCTTATAATAATCTATTTCCACTTAATAGGACCATATTATTTCCTAGTTAGTATCTGTTATGAATATCTTTCATTTTTAACGTGGCATTTAAAAGGTAAAGTGCTTAACTTAAAAGGCTTCCATCCCTGGGTGCCAGGTACAGGATAACCGAGATTCCCCTTCAAGTACCAAATCGTATTTTTGGCAGAAAAAGAACAGTTTCCCTCTAAAAATCCCTGGTCCACGTCTCTTCAAGTTCCACAGTTTATATTGAAGCCATTCCTAACAGCTGTCTTTGCTTCTATTCTAAACCCAAGATTCAATTCAAGATTTCAACAAACAGAGGATTTTGGGGCAGTTGAGTCAAGGGGGGTATCTTGGAGGCAGGGATTCTGATAGTAGTTTAGTAATGACTTCTTCCGCATAGTTACAATAATCAGAAAACCGTGTGACACAGGTAAAAGTGGAATATGGCTGTGTTACCTCTAGAGCTGTGTAACAAATGGCCCAAACCCTCAGCAGTTTAAGACAACATTTAGTCTCACAGTTTCTGTGAGTCAGGAGTCTTCACTGAGCTCCTCAGGGATGGAGTCTCTCACAAGGCTGCAATCAGGTAATGGCCAAATTGCAGTGATCTCAAGGCTCAGCTTGGGGAAGACACAGTCCAAGCATGCTCACATGGGTTGTAGGCAGGACTAATGTCTCTGGCCAACAGCCCTCAAGAACACCAGTTCCTTGGCACATGTTCCTCTTTATAGGGTAGGTTGCAACATGGCATCCAACTTCCCTCAAAGGGAGCGAGAGAGAGCACCTAAGGCAGAAACCAGTTTTTGAGACCTAATATTGGCCTATCACTTCTGCTATACTCTACTCACTAGAAGCAGCAAGATACTAAATAATGCAGCCCAGACTCAAAGGGATTGCTTAAGACTATTAATACATGAGGAGATGGAGATCACTGCGGGCTGCTTAGATGCTGACTACCACAGGCTACATAGCTATTCTTTTACAATCTTGATTTTTAACTTACAGCAACTTGTACTGGACAGACTGGAATAGAGAAGCTCCTAAAATTGAAACATCATCATTAGATGGAGAAAACAGAAGAATTCTGATCAATACAGACATTGGATTGCCCAATGGCTTAACCTTTGACCCTTTCTCTAAACTGCTCTGCTGGGCAGATGCAGGTAATACTACTGATGGAATGCAGATAACCCCTCATTATAGTGAGTGTGAGCACTAATAGACTGTACTACAAAATCAAATCCCATCACTTAGATCTTTTGGTTTAAACACATTTCTAACAGTACAGCACATAATCTCCTTTCTTTGTTCTGTAAACTTTTAAATACTATTAAATGAGTCTTAAAATGAACTTTCTGGGGTTTGGGTGGAGGGAAGGCTATATCAAGCTAATTTGTACTGCTTGCCTGACCATGAGTGCTTGGCATATTTTTAATGGTTAAAAGAAATATTAGCCACTGTTGAACTGACAAACTGAATTGAAGTTATTCTTCTGGTGCGGGGAGAGTGGGTCACTATAACTTATCTATAAACATCTGTTATAATGCTAAAGACATTCTTTGAAAAGTGTTGTAGCAGGGTGGCTTCCTTCAGTAATAGCATGGGTATTAGCAACCCAAATTTGTTTGCTTTCATCAGCACAATTGAAAAAATGCTGTGTGTCTAGCTCTATACTAAAGAATATGAAAAAGACTGTTCTTGAATTTGTAATCTAATAAAAGGGCCTATAATGCACATAGGTCACTTTTATAACCCAGTTGCTTAAAACAAGTTACATTTCTTAAAAGTATTTGAAATTTAAATCAGGGCTCCATGAGAAATGTGAAACTTGGAAATTCTTGGTTTAGTTATTATAAAAATTTTTAAGACTGATTCCTTTACACTGAAATATGTTACCATTTTAGTCACTTTTTCCCTCCTACCTAGAAAATATTTTTAAAATACTAAGGATTTTGGTTAAAAGGCTGCCTCCGTAATTATACACATAGCTTACAAAGGGCAAGTATTTACCCAGATGTTATAATTTATAAGCTAAGGCTTGAAATCACACAAATTACAAAAATAATTACGTCTAATGCCCTACTTAGGCAGAAACTTACCAGATTTCAGTAAATGCAATCCTGTCTTCCAAAAAAGGATTGAAAGTTTGAATCTCTACTAAAAACTGGAATGCTATCCAACAAACTGGAGATGAGTAATAGGACAGGTAATATTACAGTTGTTAATCTATGACTGCAATGGAAGTAAAATACCTTATTTCCCCGTTCTTCCATTGTTTTCTTGGAGAAGGAATCTGTCATTCATTTTTGGCAAAGCAACTTATTACTCCGTGGTGTAAAAGGACCTCATTTTCCCCCTTTGTTTTAAAAGGAACCAAAAAACTGGAGTGCACACTACCTGATGGAACTGGACGGCGTGTCATTCACAACAACCTCAAGTACCCCTTCAGCATCGTAAGCTATGCAGATCACTTCTACCACACAGACTGGAGGAGGTGAGCCCCACACATTCTGGACAAGCCTGAAAAGGCCAACTGTTCCAGAGGACACGCCACTTGTTTTACGAAAAGTCAGTACGTGACTTTACTCAGTAAGACCTCTGAGGCTTTTGTTTTGTCACCTCCTCATTGGCAGATAAGATCCTTCAAGGATGTTTCTTTTCATCCTTTCATGTTTTTGAAATCATCCTTTTACTTCACCCAGAAATTGAATGGTATTGATCACATATAGCTTAAAAAGTAGCAAAGCTATTTGATAATGAACTATCTCAAAAGGAAGCATATTAATCTAAATATGTTCTTTAGAGAGTAAGACTACCCTTGATACCATGAACTATATTGAATATAGAGCTTAAGTTGGTTTTTGACTAACACTGTGGACATATTGTCTGAGAGAGCGAAAAATACTATTTAGACGAGCTCTCAAATGAGGAACTGTGGAACATTAAAGTCTAGGCCCTTTACCCCATGCCCTACAAATCTGATTTGATAGCTCATCATGTGATTGTAACATGCAGCTAGAGATGACCAACAGATTTAGAGCAATGGTCCCTCAAACTTTAGTGTGGCTTTAGCATCAGCCCTTGGACAGAGAAAGCTGCCAGAAATTTTCCTCTATTGCAACTCACTTTTTGTAGCTAACTTCTTAATCTTGTAAATGACTCTCCCTGAATTCACTCTTCCTTTCTGTCACCAGAGATGGTGTTGTATCAGTAAATAAACATAGTGGCCAGTTTACTGATGAGTATCTCCCAGAACAACGATCTCACCTCTACGGGATAACTGCAGTCTACCCCTACTGCCCAACAGGTAAAAAATATGCTTTAGGATGCTCCTTTAAATTAGCAGGGTAGAGAAGGGGGGAGATATATATGGTATTTGATTACCCCTGCTGCCTGTGACACTGCCACCATTGCTTTCTTCCTGCCCTGAGGGCCAGTCTTTACTACCTTAAATCTACCTAGTTTATACACAAAATGCAAAGACTTGCTGTTGCAACTTGGCTACAATATACTCACCCACCACACTCTCCCACCCCTGCTCTTCTCTCACAGGAAGAAAGTAAATACAGTAATGTAAAGGAAGACTTGGAGTTTACAATCAGAACCTGGACCCTGAAGAACAGTGACTGCAAAGGCAAAGTAAAAAAGGAATTGGCCATTAGACGTTCCTGAACATACAAGATGAACATTATTTAGTGCAAAAAGACTTTTGTGAAAAGTTGATACCTCAATCTTTACTACTGTATTTTTAAAAATGAAGGTTATTGCAAGTTTAAAAAGGTAATAGAATTTTAACTGTTGCTTTAAAGCAACTTCTTGTAAACACTTATCATTAATATTTAAAAGGTCAAATTCATTCAACTAAGAGTTTAAGACTCTAAATGTGATTTTTGCTATGGATTCCTTCTGGCCAAGAAATTAAAGCACATGTGATCAATATAAAAATACAATCCTAAACCTTGACAGTTGGAGAAGCCAATGCAGAACTGATGGGAAAGGACCAATTATTTATAGTTTCCCAACAAAAGTTCTAAAATTTTTTTACCTCTGCATCAGTGCATTTCTATTTATATCAAAAGGTGCTAAAATGATTCAGTTTGCATTTTCTGATCCTGTAGTGCCTCTATAGAAGTACCCACAGAAAGTATCACATTTATAAATACCAAAGATGTAACAGTTTTAAAATTTTCTGGATTACTCCAATAAAGTGTTTTAAGTTTTCCTATGACTTAAGGATCTATATTGTCTCTAGGACAAAGCTGGGGGTTGGCATATATGCCCTTAACCACAAAGGAGAAAGGTGATTTATGCAAACATACAGCACATAATAAAAATTCTACTTTCCTAAACTTTATTAAAGAAAAAAGCAATGGTGGTAAATCTCTAGAACATACCCAATTTTCTGGGCTTCCTCCCCCGAGAATGTGACATTTTGATTTCCAAACATGCCGGAAGTGTATGGTTCCCAATTGTACTAAGCAGGTGAGAAGCTAAAGTCCTAAAGTGTTCATCTTCCAACTTTTCCCAGTCTGTGGTCTGTCTTTGGATCAGCAATAATTGCCTGAACAGCTACTATGGCTTCATTGATTTTTGTCTGTAGCTCTCTGAGCTCTTCTATGTGCAGCAATCGCAGAATTTGAGCAGCTTCATTAAGAACTGCATCTGTTTTATGAGAAAAGAACACTGCTTCAATACATAATTTTTATATTTAAGGCCATTTACTTCCCCCCCCAAGTATTCAGTCTCTAAAATATAGTTTGAATTTAAAATCACTTACCTCCTGTATCAAAACCAAGAATATGTTTGTCTAAAGCAACAGGCAAGCCCTTTAAAAAAAAAAAAAAAAGACAAAATGAGAGTACTTATGGTTAAGAACAGCATCCTTTTCTCATCTGAAACTGAAAACCACCTAGCTATTCTGGTGTCTTAACTCTCTTAGCTGCATGGATAAGGGAACTAAGAATTTTGTTTATATTTGCCTTGTGATTAGCGAGTTTTCCCTATTTCAACCGGTTAGGGGATAAAAGTTAGCTTTAAATGTACCAGGAAGCTCTACAGCTCATCCAATCCTTTAGACCAGGCATACAAAACAATATATCCTTATTGCAGCAGTGCCTTGTCATTACTGCTGTGGAAGGCGAGTTGAGCGGGGCTGTTACTGTCTTATTTTGGTAACTGTAAGCAACAGTATAAAGGGCAAAAATAGTACCTTATATTCCATTTCTGAGCACATTAATTTGCCTTTACGAATTGTACAAACCTATCTAAAATATGTATTTTTTCAGCCAGCATGGTGTTTACCAAGATTTAGGTATAATTTAACTTTCAAGAATTGACTTGAAAGTTACTTTGAAACAGTCTAGGAAAATGAAAAACTAAACCACTCAGCACCTGTGGACATACTAAATATGGTGACTATGATGATGCCATTCTGTGGTGCCAAACTTCACAGAAACAAATCTCTAAAATGAGGACAGGCAGTCTGTACTTCCTGCTGATTATATAATATCATTGCCAAGAAAAACACACACTACCTATTCTTTCAATGTTACAACCTGTTACTATTCAAATGCTTTAGCTGCTGCTCAATTCTTGCCTTATCTAGTAATGTAAATCTACCTAGGCTCTATCTGCTTTAAAACAGCTAACAGATTAACTGTGAAGAAACCAATGGGTATGAAAGCACAAGTGAACAAAATTAAACAGCAGAATTATACTGAGTGGCTTTATATGTTCATCTAGTACCAGAGGCTCCATTTTTTTTTCCTTTGTCTGCCAACAGGCCACCAAGCTACCCCTGAAAACTACCAGATGCCTCAAATACTAGTTATAAATGGTTACAAGTACACTAAACTATAAGAACTCCACTAAATTGTTATAGGTTGGTATCTTTTGAGATGACACCAAAATTAAAATGTGGAGCATTAAAAATAAAACTAAATTTTACTTTACAAACAAGAGCAAAGAGATTTGGCTAAGCCTTACGCTGCTTTCCAAATCAGACATAGTTTTGTTGAATGAATGAATGAATGAATGACTTTATTACGCCAGAACAATTTACTGTGTGTTCTATAATGTGGTGAAATAAGCTGATCTTTAATCCAACTTCCAGTGGCCCGATTCACATATAACGAGCTAATAAGAACTTTTAAAAGAAAATTGTGTCTTTCAGAGATGCTGCCCTGGCATTAGTAACCTTTTAACACTGCTGGGCCTGCCTAAAGGGGCTGGAGGACAAAAGACATTGGGAGATGGGGGAGGGGTGCAGGGAGGACAAACAACATAGTTGTGCCCAAGGCATTCACTACAACTACAGTCATTGCTGCAGGAGGGAGGTGTTATCAGATGCTGCTGCTGACCTGAGGACAGTCTCTCTACCGCTGCACAGCGAATGAAACTTTAGGCATATAGGGATTTCTGATATAATATAAAAATATTCCATATTTTCTCTTGAACGGGAAGGTAGTCATGGGATATAGCTTTCTCAGCCTACAAGGTAGGACTGAAAGATACCATTTCAGTCTCCTGTACCTTGAACCTTACACTCCAACAGAACCCCCTGTCCCTTCACTTGGGCAGATTGACAAGCTCATGCAGACATCCACACATGGACCCTTCTCCCCACCTATCATAAGAGCACAGGCTCTCACATCAGACTGCCTGAGCTCAATCACTTACCAACTAGGTGACCTTAGCCAAATTACTTTCTCATGTTTTATGCCAGGAAATTGAATAAAACAATTTACTCTGAAGAAATAAAAGCAAGGATAGAATTTATATGGAAAAAGAAAAGTAATTTGTAGTGAGGTGTGTTCCTTCTTCTCCAGCATGAGTCAAAATAATCCAGTAAGTTTCGTAAGGGTAAATCCTTTTAATTAAACTTCAACAGGCCACAGACATAATTTGTGGACTGTGAATGAGCTACTTGTAGCTTTTTTAAGTTACAAAGTGAGAGGAACTTCAGTGAAGTTTGATTTTTCACTCAAAAAGGACCCCCTAGGCACTGAATACATTCAATTTGCTTTAGGAAGCACTGAAGTAAGCTATCCTTTAAGTTGTTCCAATGTAGAATGGATATCTTAAACAGATACATGCAAAGTTTAAATCATGACAATACCAGAAGAAATGTTCATTAACAACTTATTTAGGATTTATAGAAACATACCTCTTTTGTTTGATTTGCCTTAGCAACTGCATCCTGTGTCAGGCGCTCCTGAACCAAAATTCGAATTGCCTAGGAAACCCAAAAATATTTTTACTTTTTATAGGCTGTGTGCCTGTCATCCTTTATTTCTATGAGCCCAGAGAATAAGGATGCTAAGTTTCATGAAGTTAGAATTACCTAAGTTTATTAATAAACTCTCCAATAAATTAAAAATTAAAAAAAAAACCCACTAATATAATGTAACCTTTCATGCTTCTAGTATTTTAATAATGTCGAGTGGTGCCTGCAACAATTAAAACCATTTTTTGAATAGGTAATTCACGTGCCTGGTAAAAAACAACTTTAAATACAGCAAGAAACATGGTAAAAAGTAGGTCTCCTTCCTACCCCTGAGCCTTGCGATCCCCTACAGATTCCTTACCCTCACTAAAAGTGTGAAATGACAAGCATGCTTAGCACGAATACACATTTTTGGCACAAAGGGTAGCAAATCATACATACTGTCTTACACTTTGCTTTCATCACTTCACTCTAGTAAAATATTTTCATACCTTTCAAAGGACACCATTGGTGGTTTTCATCACCAAGGCACTTCATTATGGTAGGCATGCATGCAAGCATCCATACACACTTAAAAATCAAATTTTAAAAAAATGGAATTTTAATTAGGGAGATGACAATTACAACTCAAAAATCAGTGTGAAAACTTAAACTATAATTTTTAAATAAAAAACCAAATGTTATCTTTGAAAAAGAGAATTCAAACAATGTTTAACAGTGATTGCAGACGTTATTAAATAGTTTGAGGCCAGTTAATATACTGATTCTTGTACTTGGCAAATGTACTAAGATGTTTTCTATATTATGTTACTGTTTCAGTGCCTCTTAAAATAACTCAAAAGGGACAAATGTGCAGCTAGGACTAGAATTTTATAGCACTTTATTGTAGTTGATTTATACTTTATCCCCTTGGGTTTTGAAGTCTAACAAAAGCACCCCAAATAAGCTATGCATTGTCTGACTCTCCTCTCACTTTACGATTAAAACTGACATGATCACTATAGAACAGTTCCAAGGCAATTTACATAATTGTCAGAATAAAGAACAAGCCTTTGAAATAGCTAAATTTCACTAAAAACATTTTTGTCTTTTGGCATGCAATCTGGATTGAGAAAATCCAAGTTAACATTCAGATTCAGTATAGAAAATTGTAATAACTTAGGAATACAATAGTCTTGTTAAAACTGACATTTAATACCTAAAAATCTAAAAAGCATGGTAAGTTATGGCTTAATCTCTTGGGTAGAGTGAAATGTAATTATTCAACTTATCACAAAGTAGTTTACATGCACAAGGTCTAGTTAAAAGCTTTTAATCTCTTGTAAAATCAGTAATAATTTCTAAAATAATTTCCAAGTCTGGTATCTTAAGTACCACTCCCTTGATCCACACCACTGTACTTTCACGATTACTAGGAATAAATCTTCTGAAGTTTATGATTTCTCTCAGAAACAAGAGACCTCTTTCAGATTACTGGGATCCCTGAAGTATAGTTATGAACTGAGTGGCCTATCTAGCACTGGGGACAGAAAGATTGATTTCTCAAAGAGATTTGGGGGTTATATATTTTTGACCAAATTCACCATTACTCATTTGGCATTTTCTACCATCTTAACAAATGTGGACCATGAATCATTAAAAAGACTAAACAGAAGTAGGATACTGTGGGAAAAACAATGGAACACAGGGTTACAGTGCTTAAAATCCTGGCTCTGTCATTTTTTGTGTCATCTTAGACATTGAGTCTCAGTTTCTTCATATGATATACATTTTTAAAAAGATATTAGCAGCTGTCTCTAGGATTGCTGGCAGGATTGGATGAGAACATCTTTGCAAAGGATTTAGCATAGTGCAGGCAGAAAACAGACAATCCAAATCAGATAAAACCATGAAATCTGCTTTATGTCTCATATTCTTCTGTGTATTTTAGTCATTCAACCATAATTTTAATAACAAGAATTAATATTTAGAAAACACATTTTTCTATGTGCACAGTTTCTGTCAAGAATCAAGAACATGAAGCTGACCTTAAGCATTACCAGGTAATCATCATGACGCTGAATCTGAAGCAGGTTAGCCAAAGCCATCACACCAGCCTTAAAATCAGGATTATTTACTATAAAAGATTAAAAATAAACAAAAACTTACAACTCTGCAAACGTATAATTAAGATGTATTTGTGAACATACAAAAACAGTTTTAACTTTTTGGTAACAACAAATCTCTTAGTTTTTAAAACTGCTACTCACAAGAGAAAAAACAAAGCCCTGTAGACTATCAACAATTAAATTGGTAGGATAAAACGGTTTTCCTATTACCATATGAGACGGTCCCCAACTTAGGATGGTTAGACTTGTAATTTTTGACCTTACAATGAGTTCAGTGGGATGTAACCCTAGTGCAAGATGAGGAAAATCTGAACTTACAGTGGTTCCAGCTACAATTTTTCAACTTTACAATGGGTCTTTTGGGGTATTAAATGCATTTTTGACTTACGGTATTTTCGACTTTACAACATGATCTCATCCTAAGTCAAGAAGTATCTGTATTTCATCAGCCAAACTGAATAATCCAATAAATGAGTAATTTAACTCACATTATATTTGTCCTGTAACTTTTTCTGCAAGGCTAAATTATGCAGCATTTTTAATTAACATTTATTCCCAAGGCCATTAATTTTAGTAGATAGATCCCCTCAATGGATAGTTTTCCCAAAACCTTCTCTCTAAGCAGCGGCTCTGGAGTGTCCAAGAGGCTCACTCATTCAAAAGGGTTACCTCTTAAATTATAGGTCACAATGAATAAGGCAGTGAACGAATATTTTACATATCCTAATTTAGGTAATTAGATTCTTCATACTTTTAAAAAGGGAAATTACTAAGACATCCGGGACTTAAAACAATGGAAAATTTTACCACTTGTCTCATAGTCATTGGATTAAAAGAAATTTATACATTCAAAAAGGCAAACAATGACCCCCATGATTATACAAATCAAAACTCCAAATTACTAGAAGCAAATCAAATTAACATTCAGATATTCAAATGCAAGGGGAAGGAGAAAGCACATTATAAAAACATTATAGAGAATAAAATGTCAACATAAATGCTGTCTGCATGGATCCTTCTTAATTAACTAAAACCAGGTAAACGTGGACTTCATTCTTCAAAGTAAAAGACATTTAAGAAACCAAAAATGTTGATGTTCAATGTTATGCATTTATATACTCACCATCCAAATTGATCAATGGTTCTGCATTTTTAGTTGCATTGTCAGCAGTTTTTGAATTATCAGGTACTAAATCCTTGTATTTTTCAGCTATAAAAATAGGCAAAAATATAACTTGTAGAACTGCAACTCAAGGTAAAATGACTACTGCTATTTACCAAATTTAACTGAGCCAAACTGATTACAGGTTGAGTATCCCTTATTGGAAATGCCAATAATTTCCAATTTTTAATTTTTTCAGACTTTGGATTATCTGCATACATAAAGTGGGTTATCCTGGGGATAGGACCAAAGTCTAAACACAAAATTCATTTTTATGTTCAATGTGCAACCTATACACATAGCCTGAAGGTAATTATACAATATTTTTAATAATTTTGTGCATGAAACAAAGTTTGTGTTAAGTGCTTATGTGTGGAAATTTCTACTTGTGTCCTCATGTCGGTGCTCCAAAAGTTTTAGATTTTGGAGCATTTAGGATTTCAGATTTTCGGATTAGGGATGCTTAACCTGTATAAGTATAAAACAACTCATTCAATCAAACTTAATTTTTGCTATAGAAAATGTAAAAAGACAATGTAACTATCTTTGTGATTAAGCTAAAGCAATTACTGGACTATGTGACACAAATATCTTTTCATTAACATTCCTAAAGGCAATCATTTCAAACATGTAAATTTTAGGAAGGTAAAAATCTGCTTTTACAGCTTCCTCTGAAATCTGGGGTAGAAGAATGGGAGAAGGGTTAAGTATAGGTTATGTAAGATTAAATACAAACTCATTAAAAAGTACGCTTCCCCCCATCTTCTTTTGAATGCTGTATATAAAATCCAAAAACCTTGCTTTCCAAAAACAAATACATCAAATACACCATCATATACAAACCTCCAACTTATTTCATGGAAACTTGATATTCAGAATTCCAAAGGTAGATTTTATTATTTTCATTTGAAAAAATACTTAAAAGGAATTCAAAAATAACACTTATTAATAATTCACTAAACTTAATGTTCAAAATGGCATCTTAGGCTATAGAGTGCTTACATGATCTGTTAATGAAACGAGGAAAAAATAAAAGCATAAAATTTAAGTGAGAGTTAAAAAGGCTTCCACTGGCCAAATCTGGAGCAGTATATAAACAGCAAAGTACATGATGACAGAAAGGATTATAATCCATTGAGTAAAATAAGAATCTATGTATCTACACTGATTTAAACAAACAAGTAAATTAGAGATGGGAAAACTTACAAGAGAAAGCCAACAAATAAATGTAGAAAAAAATGATGAAATTAGAAAAACACCTCTTTGTCGATGATCAACATAATAAATGATGCAGGCAAGAATCATCATATGGTTGCTAAAACTAGTGGGGGAAATTTGAGGAGCAAAAACATAATTGATATAGTCTCAAAGTACCTCCCCACAAGATGTATTTATTACAAAGAGGAAAACAGTAACTTTACACTGGAGAAACCGTAACCCAGAGATCAAAGCAACATAACTAGTAAAGGCACATATCACTACCACATATCTCCTAATATGATGCACTAAAAAGAACACATCACTTCTGTATTATTCCTAACAAAAGTATAAACCCCAGATCTAATGAGGAAACATCATATAAATCCAAATGAGGGACACTCTACAAAATAAATGTCAGGGTCATGAAGCACAAATAAAGACAGGAACTGTTCCAGATTTTAATATACTAAGAGAGATGTAAAAACTAAATGCAGTGCATAATCCAGGATTGTTCTGGGTTGTTTTTTTCTGTTGAGAGAATTGGGGGTTTGATAAAACGTGAATAATTAATAGTAGTATAGCTTCCTGATTTTGATCACTGTACTGTGGTTATATAAGACAAAGTTGTTTTTAGGAAATGTGTTTTAAAGTGTTTAAGAGTAAAAAGGAATCATCTACAACTTACTATCAAATCGTTTAGAAAAAAATGATGTGTGTGTATTTGTGTAGACAGAAGGATGAAGCAAATGAGGTAAAATGTTACATTTGTGGACTTGAGGTATATGAAAATCTTTGTACTATTTTGTAATTTTTCTACACATCTGAAATTATATATTTAAAAAATTTCAGTTATTAATCATGTTGACAAGCTACCAGAAGGCTTCAAAAAGTAGTAGAGCACAAACAATAAAAACTCACAATGGTTTCAGCAAATTTTAAAATAAGTAACTTGAAAGTCAAGGAGGCAACATATCAATGTAAAACCACAAAAGAACATCAGTGCCTCCTACTGATTGGAGACAGTATTATATGACCAATTTTCATGTCTGTTTTTGCAATTCTGAATTTTAATAAATGAAACTTGTTTTCTAGCTTACTTTTAATACACTTTTGATACCATTCACCTTCAACTATATGTTGACTTTTTCAATATTGAAAAATTTACATTTCACACACAAGCTTCTTTTATTCACTAAAAGAACATGCTATTACTGAGAAATACATGTACTTAAGTCAACTGTAGGTATACATGACCATATGCATCTACCATTGAAGGTTAACAGGTTATAAAAATGGAACAAATAGAATAAAACATAATCTCAGATGTAAGAACTTGGGAATAACTGAAAAACACTTTTGATAAGCTACAAATTGGCTCATATACAGTTCCTACCAATCCAGAGCAGGGTAGATAAAAAGACCTTGTTAAACGCCCTAAAATGTATACTACACTAAAGCCACAAGGCTTATGAATACATGTATTTTCCAAAATAAGAAAAACAAGTTTTTTTTAATGGAAAACTTGTTACTAAATGGAAAAGTAAATGAAGTCTCAAATTGAGCTTTCCTTAAGATTTTTGCCATAAGGCTTCTGAAATTTAAGTATGAGGCACCAGCAAAAAACTGGCTGACGCTCCAAATCAGTGTATGTAAACACTCACATATATTGCATTTGCCACATAATTACTGAAATTGATAAGCACTTGTTGTGTGCAAGAAACTATGTCAGGTACTGTGACAGACACAATATTGACCTGTACCCCCCAAGATGTCCATGTCCCTATCCAGAACCTGTGTATGTGTTACCTTACATGGCAAGATTTGCAAATATGATAAAATTAAGAATCTTGAGATGGGGGATCATCCTGGATTATCCAGGTAGGCTCAGGAGGATCAGAGTCAGAGACAAAGTTATGAAAATGGAAGCAGAGTCAGATAGAGACTGGAAAATGCTATGCTGCTAGACTTGAAGATGGAAGAAGAGGCCAGAGTCAAGGAATTCGGGCAGCCTCTAGAAGGTAAAAAAGCAAAGAAACAGATTCCCCCAAGAGCCTCCAAAAGGAACCCACCTTGCTGACAACTTGACATGAACCAAGTGGGACTAATGTTAGCCTTCTCATTCTAAAATAAATTGTGTTTTTAGTCACTGAATTTGTAGTAATTTGCTACAGCATCAATTGGAAGCTAACAGAGGTACCATGCAGGAATCAAAGCTGAATATCAGCTTACAAATTACTGGGACGAATAAGACATAGAAGCAAAATGGAAAGTGGTTAATGACTTAAAAGGTATAGAGTTAAAAGCTATGGAAGTTCAGAGGGAAATTATACTGCTGCTAAGACATACAACAGCATATGAGAGGGATCTTAAAAAGATGGGTAGGATTTAGATGTGTAGAGAGAGAATGAAACGGTATATTAGCCAAGTGATAAGTTTGAACAAAGAAACGGAAGGGGAAAAGGGATATAAACAGGAAACAGTATTCTAATTTAGCTGGGATATCAAGATGTGAATACTGGCTGGATATCAGTCATCAATAACTACCAGGCTAAGGAGCTTAAAATTCTTTTTATAGAAAATGGGAAATTAGTGTTTATGAATATGTATGATGTTTATTAATATGAATAAGTAACTAGAACTGTTCTTTGGAAACAAGGAGCAAGTGGCATCCTAAAATAGATTTACGTTTCAGAAAGTTAGCTTGGTTGGCTATGCAGTTAAGAACAGAAGGTGACACTAATGGGAGATATTACAATACTCCTGGCAGAAAGTGACAAGAGCCAGAATTAGGATTATGCCAATGGAAATGAAGATACAACAAACATAAGAAAAGGTCAGTGTAGGCGGGATGAAAGGAAAGGGATAAGCCAAGATATAAAAAGGCTTCCAAAGTAAATAATTAAGAGGACTATAACTAACCAAAAAACACAAAATGCAGAGGATGCAGATAAGATAATCAAATCTTGCATTCAGATGCTGGCAGGCCTTTCAAAATGAAATGGTCTAATAAGAGAAAAGGCAAGTGTAAAGAAAAATTGTTTTTACTACAGGTACTAATATTCAGAAGCTTCCAACCATAGAAGTATCTATGATAAGACAGTAAACATAAGTAACATATTCTGGCCTA